TTCAGGGCAACCCTTTGTACCAGGGACTCTGCATTTGCTTTCTGCATTAGGCCTGGCCCTTCGGCTGCAGCAGCCCTGCCTGAGAGTGAGGAGCTGCAGGAACAGAGGGTGCGGAGGAGTTAACCAGGCCTGGTGTGAGGCGCAGAGGAGGGGCAGACCATGTGTGCAGGCTGAGAACAGCATGTCCGTGGCCCGCATCAGGAAGACGCTTGGCACGTTCCAGGGACACAGGAGCCAGGGATGCCTCGGGGTAGCAGGCAGGGGGAGGGGCAGGGCCAGGCCTGAAAAGATCGGCTGCTTTCTCTCCCTGTCTGGGCCACTTGCTTTATTTCTGTTTTATTTCCTGCACTCCCATCTTGTGTGCCCTTCTGCCTTCTCTGGCTTCTTTCTGGCACTGCCTCCTTCTGCCTGCCGGAGGCGTCTCAGCTCCCCCCTCTGCCGCCCCTCACACACACCCGTGCCCTCCCTCCCCTTCAGGGCCTGCCCCTGCCTTTCCCTCTGCTTCTGTGTCTCAGAAGGCCTTCGCAGCCAGGGACCTTGGGGCTGCCTTCCCAGCTGGGGCTCATCAGAAGCTGAGGCAATCAGGGCTCTCTGTGGGGCTGCACCCCATTTCCATCTGCCTCTGTCTGCCCCCTACCCCACCCTCCGTCACAGCTCTCGGCAGACTGGGGGCCAGGAGCAGGGCAGGAAGGGCCCAGGCAGCAGGAAGGTGATTCACAAAGACCCCACCTCCCTTCCCAGGCCCCTTGCCTCGGGGATCCGCTCATTTCCTGTGGGCCTGGGGCTCCTGACGATCCCCAGGTGGCAATTCCCAGGCCTGGGAAGGGACAGGAGATCAGCTGTTCTGACTTTCTTGTACCCAGACAAGGGAATGAACCTCTTGAAACAGAGGTGGGCCCAGATGGATTCAGAGCTAGGACTGGAACCCAGGTCTGCCAGATCCTTGTGAATCAGGGTTTGCCCGAGTCTCAGGGTCCCCCCACTGATGAGAAAAAGAAAGGGCCCAGCGCCCAGAAAAGGTGACTGTCCGACTCCTGCCCTCCTCACCCCTTGTCTCCCTGGCACCAAAGGGTCACCACGGGTAACCTGGCTGGCAGGAGCGCCCCACCCCACGGGTGACCGGCTGGTACAGCTCGGCCAGGCCAGCATGGCCTTGGGGAGGGAGGGAAGAGCATCGCCACGGCAGGCCTCATGCTTGTCGGCCTTCTGGGATCTTGCGGGGGAGGGTGTGGCTGCTCTGCCACCAAGCAGGCTCAAGTGGCACCAGGCTCTGCTGTGCTGACGCTTGGGGAGCAGGCGTCACCCCTGCAGCCTGTCTGACATTCGTTGTGTGACCAAGCACACGTGAGTGGGGAGGCGATATGCCTGGCCTGGCAGCCCACCATGGGGGCCAAGGAGACTGCAGGCCTGGGGATTTGCTCTGCACTGTCCCGCCCACTGCGGTGCCACCTGTCCCTCCGGCTGAGAGCATCCTCAGCTGCTTTAAAGCTGCAGATTCCAGCACAGCCACAAGGTGGCCCCAGGCAACCCAGGAACTGCGGAGGCCAAACCATGGGGACACCATAGTGGCCTTAGGCAGATGTCATTGACTTCAACTATTCATCGTACAACTCAGATGGTGGCCACTAGTTTGGGCAGGTTGATAGAGCAGCCATTGCCGTGACTTTGCAGGAAGCGAATCATAGAGATGGACTGACACGGCCTAGGCCACGAACCACCACATGGCTGACTTAAGGGGGCTGGGCTTTCCAGCTCCCTTGGCCTGAACTCTTTACCTAGAATGCAGCTGTCCCCATGGGAGGAAGGGGACCTGCTCGTGTGCCTGGCCCACACACCTCAGGGACTTGGGGGACAGACATTTCTCCAGTTTAGGCTGAGGGGCGGCAGGGTGGGGGGATGTTGGGGTGTTTTCAGGGGTGCGTCCAAACCCAGGGCTGCCCCTTTCTTCCTGTTGTAATCATGTGTCCATCTCTGCTTCTGTCCCCAAGATGATGAAGATGATGAGACACCCGGGCCCTCGAGGGAGCCTCTCCAGGAGCCCCAGCGGCGGTCCCCAGGGGAAGAGTCCCACCTGGCCAGGCCCTCCCTGCTCCGCTCATCCTCCTCCTCCGACCAGTCTGAGACAGTGGGCCCCAAGCCAGAGGCCCTGCGCCGTCCGTCCTCCCAGGCCCAGGCTGCTTGCGGGACCCCGCAGCCACACCCCAGCATGCCCGGCACTGCCCTGGACTGGCAGCTCCTGCACACCCACACCCAGCAGACTGAGGTGTTCCAGCACTTTTGCCAGGAGCTGGTGACTGCGCACCAGGACATGGCCAGCAGCATGCATGTCATCGGGCAGGCCGTGGCCGAGCTGACTAGCCGTGTCGGTGAGATGTGCCAGACCTTGAGAGAGATCCGGGATGGGGTTCAAGTGTCTCAGCAGGGTCCAGGAGGAGTAGCCCCCGTGGGCTGCACCCCTCAGGCTCAGACACCCCGTTTGGCTCCCCCACAAGCTCCCCTGGCTCCAGCCCCGGCACGGACTACCAGGTCTCGGAAGAGAAAGCACAATTTCTAAACCGGCCAATCTGCACCAGGAGGAAGAGACACGAAGGGATTGTCTGGCCTCAAGATGGGGGCCGGGCACAGGACCAGGACCCTGGTAGGACACTGGGGGCACTGTCACCTCCTCACCGAGCCCAGGTCGGCTGCCTGTGCTTTAACAGAGCTTGTGTTGAGCGCACTCCTTCCCTGGTCTTTGGCAGATGCTCAAGATGAAAGAACAGCTACCCGCTTGATGCTTGCTTGGCCTGGAGGTCTTTGTCCTCCTCTTGGTCTGTCACCCATGGCAGTAGGCCGTGCGTGGCAGGGGGCAAGGGTCGGGAGCATCTGAATGGAACCTGCTTCCAACCTTGGGGGCTGCTGCACTGATGCCAGCCCCCAGACTCTTCTGCTTTCCTAGGGGAGTGGCCTGAGGATGCTGGAACAAGTCCTCTGAGGATGGGTCTATCCTCCCCTCCTGGGAATGCTAAGACCCATGGGTGGTGCCTTCGCTTGCCCTTGTGCAGTGCGCGTGCTCAGCTGCTGTGCTTGCCTTCTGTGGAGTGTGACAACAGTGGGAGGGTGTCAGGAAGGAAGAGACCATCTCGTGTGCTTAGAGAGAGCACTTAAGGCTTTTCCTGTACTTTGTAGATATTATGTGATCTCAGGGGGCTCTCAGAGGATAACTGCAGAGGCAGCTGAGCCAGGCATTTCTATCATTATTATCTGCATTTCATAGATGACAAATGACGTAGCCTCTTACCGGAGGGCCAGGACCATGGATTTTGCCAGTGTTCCTGTCCAGAGGCCAGAACCAGAGCAATGGGAGCAGGGGGTCTTGCTCCTTGTCTGGCTTCCTGGGTGGCAGCGGCAGCACTGAGGTGGATCTGCTATTTTGCCTGGCCCTGGGCTGCATGGCCAGTGGCTGGGGAGAGGCAGAGCCTAGGCCTCAGGAATCCCGCAGGGCTCGTGTCTGTTTTACATCCTGGCATGCCTTGCCTCTGCTTGCTTGGGCTGCACCTGCACTGGCCACACACATCTCCAGCTTCGTGTTTCATTTGAGGTGTGAGGAGAGAGCGGGATCTTGCAGTTAGGGAGGGAGGTAGCAGGTGACAGTGCAAGCTTGTCTCCACGTGAGCGCAGCTCGGCTCTGTGTCCTCTTCGCTCCATGGCCTGAGGCCGGTCCCTGCAGATCTGTCCTGCCCCCTCCCGCCTGTTCCCTCTCATCCTCCCCCCAGTGGGGGTAGGAGGCTTGCTGTAGCTGGTGCCTGCTGAGGCCATTCTTGGGGCTGCTCATAACCTAGACCAAGCTTTGTCCTGCACAGAGAGGATGGAGGGCACCTGTCATGTCCCTGTGCCCTCGACTCCACCTCTCCATTCTGTGGTCCTTCGGGGGTTCCTGCCCCCCAGACTGAACACCCTCCTGCCCAAGAGCCCTGTGGCTTGATTATTGCCTGGAATTGCCCTGCCTTCCTATGTGAGAGTCGAAGATTGCCTTCCAGAGTATTTTTGTTAAGATGGCAATAAAAAGAAATTGGTCGCACACTTTGAACACACCCAGGCTCCAGGATCTTTCTTTGGTGTATATTCTTTCTCTGCTTCCTAGGGAAACCTCATGGCCCCCAAAGCAGGGCTGAGTAGATTAGGGAAAAGCATGGTGGGAAAGGGGGCCCCAGTGGCCCCTGCATTTCCCTGATCCCAGAAGCTGAGAGGGCCTCAGTCCAGCCCCAGCCAGGCCCTTGGAGGCAAGGACCAGAGCATGGGAGCTGGAACACCCTGCACAGTGCTTCAGTGTTTCACTCCTTCTCACGTCAAAAGTGTGTCAGAGCTAAATTACTTTTACCTTCTGGTTCCCTAAAAGTCAGTTAAGGTTCCCAGGGCCCTAAGCGCCTTTTCTGGCAGGAGGCTTCAGAGAATCAGGGCCTTCTGTTGCCAGAGCATCTGAGGGCCCATGCTGAGATAGGAACCTTCTCTGGACGTGGATGGATGCTGAGGTCCCTCTGTCACAGCTGAGGCCCTGCCCATCCAGACCTGAGGCTTGTCCAAGTGATGGAGGCACCCCGGCTCGATGCTGGTCACAAAGAGAGCATGCCCCAGGCCAGATCTCTGTCTTGATTGGGAACCCCCTTTCTGGATGGTTCTAACCTACCTTTGGCTTTGCAGTCCAGACCATCTGTTGCACTTCTTAGCCCAAGAGCATGGCCAGGGAAACTAAGGCTGTCCAGGTTCTGGGAGATGTGGAGACACCTTGAAACCAAGCCCGGGGTCTTCCCTAACCCCCAAAGTCAATGTGATGGGCTGGAAAGGGAAGGGCCCAAGTTGGAAAATGCTTTAACCCCGAAACAGAGGTCAGAGCAAAAGGAACGGGGAGGTGAAGAGTCTCATGGTGGGGGATGGAAAAGATTTCCATCTGTGTCTTGGCTTCAGTGGGAATTGTGAGGCATGTGAGGCAAAACAGGAGGAGGAAATGGGCAGTGGTAGGAAGGATGGGAAACCTAAGCCAGCATCACCTAGGGAAGCCTTGAAGGGGAGGCTGGCTGGGTGGCCTGAGGCCAGGGGTTCACTGGATGGATGGGGGCATGACCCAAAGTCCCTACCAGCCCAGAGACCTCATGTGCATGAGAACACGGAGCCCAGGGCCTTTCTTCTTGGCCTGTCTCTCCCATTTCTGCCTCTGTGACCTGGATGACTTCCTGTGCACTGGAGAGCAGGAGGGGTGGACCTGGTCACTCCCAATCAAGGGGATGCCCCGTGAATTATTTTCATTCTCAAGAGTTGGAACCCATAATCATTTCCTGATCCAGCTAGAAAATCTGGTGTGCCTGATAAGACCCAGTGTGTGAGGCCTGAGAACTGTCTTTATCCTTGCCTATCTAGTACCCAGGGTTGGCCAGGAGGCTGGAATCAAAACAGTGCCTTATCTTCATGAAAAGTTCAGCCCAGAAATGTCACCCTCACTGCCACTATCACCCAGTACCTTGATTCTCTCCAAGGTGCCCGAGTCTGGGGCTGGGATTTAGGCCAACTCTGGGACAGCCTCAGCCGGGCCTTTTCCACCCGCTTCCTGTGCCTTCTCTCCGACTAGGGGGTGTCCTGGTCACTCAGATCTCCTTGTGAACAACTGCTCAGCCACGATGAAGAGCATGACTTCCTACTCCCTGGAAGCCTTGTGCTGCTCAGGGAGGGCTCCAGCTTCCCTGTGGCCACAAGATTGGACAGGGCTGACTCTTCATAAAGAGATTGTCACAAATGGGGACAACGGGATTCTGAGAACCGGTCAGGGCATTAGGTGTTGCCACAAAATACTTAAAACAGGAGACCTAATTAGAAGTCATTGGTGTTGGGATTTGGCTGATTTCGCTTTACTCAAAAATCCCATAGCGTCGACTTTGCGTCAAGGGAAAGGTTTGTTGTGATTCGCTAAGAGTTGCCATGTATATCTTATTTCAAATGCCAGGTTTATTGGTCTGCCTTTGAAAATACATTGTGATCGATCCAAAGACTTGGGGTGCTCTATCTAAATATTGGCTCTCGTGGAGTAGAAGGATGGAAGGGGAAATTGACTCAAGTCTTTCCAAACCTTCTGACACACTGTAGATGATGCTTCTTTAAAGAAAGAAATCCTCGTTGTAAACATGTTCCTCAGCTATCTTTTCCTCTTAACATGGAGTGATGGAAAAATAGCTCAGCCTTTTTAGAGCTTGGCAGCTGTTTAGAAATTGAGAAGAGGGGTGACGGGAAGGGTATCCCCCCCATGCTGCTCTGGGAGTGCAGAGCTCCTCTCCGGGACAGAGAGGGTCGGAGGCTTTGCCTTCCGTTTGTATCTGGGAGTGTCTGTAGCAATGTCAGTTCTTGCTATGCTAGGCTGAATATATTTAGATGTTAAATCCATCTCTCACTAAATTGGAGGCTGGAATAGGCCGATTGTGCAGTGGGAAAGTTAGGGAAGTAGTAGTCACCTGGCATGGCTTCTGTGGAACTGGGGCCCTCTTTCCCTTCCCTTATGTTCTTGGCTAACAACATCATGGCTGGGTGCGTGGAAGTCACCAGATCATTTTCAAAGTGTGGGGAGACCCCTGCTTGCATCAGATACTGAGGAGCGCTCCGATGCTTGGAAGCTAAGTACCTGGACCAGACTCAAGTTCTGGGGATCTGAGCACCACTGGGCTTTTCTCACAGCGGGGTGGGGCTTGTGACATATTTCTCTGGAGGGGGCGAAGCAGCCAGAGTGAAGTCTGCTGTCCCATTGCCTTGTCTGTGTTTCCTCCAGGGCCTATGCTGTACTCTGCTGCCAGAATGTCTGCCCTCTGGACCCCTTTGTAAGTGCGGTACCCTCCTCCAGGGCCCAGTCAGGCTATTCTGCAAAGGCCTCTTCAGATCAGGGCAGGATGCCTGCAAGGGCCGTCTCTGGGGCATCTCCAGAGTAGATTCTCAGTGCCTTTGGCCACAGTGGCTACCACCAGGGCCACCGCATGCTGGAACTGGTGTTTGTGTATGTCTTTTCTTTCTGTGTGTGGGAGAGATAAATAATAAAAATTGCTTATTGAAAAAACCTGAAAAGTACAGAAAATTATGAAGATGATCCACCTATAATGGATAATCTTTGTTAAAACACGGGTGTTTCCTTCAAGCAGTTCACCGAGGCTCATTTTCAAAGCATTATTGGGACCAGGATGTACACAGCTTTTGCTCCTGTTATCCTCACTCTCCATGATTATCAGCACTGCTTTGCTACGTCATGAAAGAGCCTTGAAAATATTTTTCCTAGGGATGAGGTTCCACAGGCAAACGTACACTCATTTACTAAACTAGACATCTGGCGTTCAACACTCAGATGTTTTGGCTTTTGCACTATTATAAATAACAAAGCCACCCATGCGGTGGTATCCAGGGCTTGCATACTCGTTCCATATCTTTTTGTTCTGAATCTGCACTGCCAATTTATTTCTCAAAGGGCTGAGGCAGGTTATTCTGCAACATGGCTGTGGGAAATGCCTTTTGCAGCACCTTTATTATTCTTCATATTAAAAATTCTGTGCTGATGAGACAAATGTGCCTCTTCATGTTTCTTTTCCTATTAGTGATGCTTAATACTTTTCAGGTATTCATTATGCATTTGAATTTTTCTATGAATTTTTATTTCTCCTGGACTATTGCAAATATAATTCTTTGGGTGAAGCCAAACAAACTTTGATTTCTTTTCAGGCTTTTGAGTGAAACCGTAGCTTAAGGAAAAGTTTATTTTTGGTTACCAATCTCCTAGATGCTTATGTAGCACAGAGCCTAAAGAATAAAACTTCCTTCTGACCTTTGACATGTGCAGCCCCCTTCTCAGTAGTCTCTCATTTCCTGGAGATGAAGAAGGTGGCAGGTTGGATGTTAGAAATGTCATTTCGGGGAACTGGATGGGGACCGTAGATTCTGTGTTTTGCGGAACTTTAAAGAGTTTCCTGGGGCTGCTGAGTTGGTGCTTTAAATGCCCACATAGGAGCCATGAGTTACAGTGACAAGCCACGCAGCTGCATGTCCTTGTTAGCTGAGTGACCTTGGGCAAGTTGCCTCTCTGAGCCTTGTTTGGCTTAAATCCTTGAGTTAACCAAAGGTTGCTGGCCATTTACTGTCTTATTTACCTTCCTCCTCTGTCGCCACGGGTCCCTCTGTGAAATATTTTAATCTTTAGCACATATTAAATGACCTCTTGGTCATGTGGGTTACTTCTGCTGGGCTCTGTGAAATACTGAGAGCAGCCCAAGGACTCCACCCTGACGACCTTAGAAGTCTTAAGAAGTTGAAGGACTCCTGTAGCTAAAAGTTAGTAAGAAACGAGCTGCTGTTTTCCAGTTGCCTTTACATCTGCTGTTGAATCTTATATTTATGCTAACATATGAGGGAGGCGGGGCAGGTGTCATTTCCAACCCCAGGAAAGAGATTCTTGGAGCACTGCAGTCACAGGGAGCTTTGGGACAGGGCTGGCCCTACCTGATGCTCCTTCCTGGTCTGAGCAGGTGCTCTGTCAACCCCTTCAGCGACATTATGGATCTGGAATCACCCGCACCTGTGCCCGGCACTAGCAGGCCCTCCACAAGGGGTGGCCCATGGTTCTCACCTGTCTCCTCGCCCTCAGGTACGTGGTCATCTCCAGGGAGGAGAGGGAGCAGAACCTACTGGCCTTCCAGCACAGCGAGTGCATCTACTTCCGGGCGTGCAGGGACATCCGGCCCGGGGAGTGGCTGCGGGTCTGGTACAGCGAGGACTACATGAAGCGCCTGCACAGCATGTCCCAGGAAACCATCCACCGCAACCTGGCCAGAGGTGAGTGTGCAAGCTGCTATAGACCATGCCCACCGGAGACCACGCCCACCGGAGAGGTCACACCCACCAGGGGCTACCTCTTCTTGAGCCCTGCTGACTCAGGAAGGAGCCTATCCTGGCGAGGACACAGCCACCAAAGAGGTCATGCCCCCTATGCCAGGGAGGACACACCCACTCTTCTGGGGAGGCCAGGATCTCTCTTCTAGGAGCTTCCTAAAGAAACCTATGGGAAATACCACTGACCAGGAGTGGGAAGCCCCAGGGCGGTTCAGGGATCAGATGGGCCAGACCTGAGTGTTACGCCCAGGCCGTCTCTGGGTATTCTCTTCCCTGTGAGATAGACAGTCCCAGAAACCCTTACCGCACACTTTCAGAGTGCTGGGAAGAGAGACAACCCCTCACAGCTGGTGAATAAATTTAGTCAACACCAGTCCTGTCCCCCAGTTCAAACTGATGAACACACATTGCAAACTGCGGCTCCCTCAGTAATCCTAGCAATAGTAGATGACATTTACCTCCTGGTTGTGATCCGGGTTTCTACATGTCCTCTGTGATATCACACGAGCAGCATCTGCCCACAGGTGTGCTGTGGAATTCAGCGGAGAAAGGTACATTCCACATCTAGAACAATGCCTGCCTTGACCACTGGAAGTCCTCGGTTGTAAATGGTTAATACTAATGATCCGGTGTGGAGTATTAGCCCCATTTCACAGATGGATAAGAGAGAGAATTAAATAAATACAGGGACTCACCCAGGATTACATGGCTGGGAGGGTGGAGCTAGGTTTCTGACTTGGGTTTAAATTCTACCCTGCAGAGGCCGCGGATTTAGCTCAGTGGTTCTGCCACCTGCCTTGCAAGCCCAAAGACCCAAGTTCAATCCCCGGTATCAAAAAAAAAAAAAAAAATTCTACCCTGCAGTGGCCTCCTGGACAAAACCAGTCTCCTCCTTGCTTCCTCCTGGTCTTGTTGGTGATGTGAAAGGACAGTCCCTTTTGGAGAGGTCTGGGAGGGGATGAGAAGACACCGTTAGGTGTGTGGGTTGGACCTCCATCTGGGCTCCATTTGAATGAGTCTTTTGCAAGTGGCTGAAAATACTCCTCAGCTCCAAGCCCCTGCATCTTTGCTCCACCCACAGCGTGGCCAGGTAGACTGGGAGCCCACTTCCTCCTGTCAAGGGGACCTTTCTTTGCACTAAAGCCACACATCCAAATGCCCAGAGTCTACCTGGTACCAAAACCCAGTCTCTGCCCAAGCCCCAAAATACTGTGTTCCCAACTGACCTGCTTAATGGCAGTAAGTCTTCATTTGGAAAATGAGTGGAGAAGAGGCGAAGCAGGTGGAGGTGACTCATTGAAATCCAACTATCTTGAAGGACAAACCAGGACAAAGCAAGTTGTTGAGTGCACAGCTGCTGCCTGGCTTGGTAAAAGGTATCTGGTGATCGGTGGGAGGCCCAGTAGACAAATCATCTGTTGTCTTCTTTGGACCTGGGGGTTGGGTGCATGCTGATTTCCCTTGGGCAGGTGCACTTCTCTGATGAAGCTGTGGTTCCCATTTGACCAGTGGAGGTGCCTCTAAAAAATGTCTGAAACACGGTAGGTGCTCAGAACATCTTTGCTAAGTGGATAAAAGACAGAAGTGAATGAAGACAGCCAAGAAGTTTCCAAAAGAACCATACCACTGGAAGAAAAGAAAACCAAGAGAAGTCATATCTGAGGATGCAGGTTTCATTCCTTGGCCACAATCTTCTTGAGTCCTCTTGGATCTGTCATGACTTTTCATTCCCCTTAGTATCTTCTTCCAAACACCTCGAGCTGCATCATCCTCAGAGAGCCCTGAGACCCGGGACTGCTCCGAGAAGGGAGTGGGCTTTCAGGAATGGTGGCTCAAAGGAGGTGTGGCAGACAGATGGGAAAGGACATGTACTGAGACGTGTGAAGACACAGGATGAATCGGTGTGTGTCCTGGGCCAGGCTGAGCAGTAGGAAGCAGGAAGGAAACGGAAAGCCATAGCAAGACAGTCATGGAGCTCTGTGGCATTTCACTGTGTTTCTCTGTAGCCTTAGCGTTAGCCAATGCTGGGTACTTCAGGTGGCATCAGACTGACACGCTGGACGCTATGCTCAGTCACTTAAAATCATGCATAGATGGAGGTGTCTTTGTGATTGGAAGCTGGTGGCCCAAACAAGTTATTAGTCCTTCATTAAGGAGGGACATGATTTGGAGCCTAGCAGTACTTCCGTAAAGAGAGCATAAATCATGCCTTTGTGGTTGTCTCTAAAGAATAGGATGCATCTCCTGCTTGTATTCAATATTTTCATGTTATTTGATCTATTTTGAGGCATTGATTTACTTGGAGGTTTTTGTTTTTGCTTTATGTTTCCCCTCATAGTTCATGAAGGCTTTGCAACCAAACTCATAAGGCTGAAAAGTCATTTGTCCTCCCAAACATTTTTCATGGAAGCCTTAAGTGTGAAGAGGTCTCCTGTTCATGTAATGTGGATGACTTCAGCCTTGAACAGAGAGACAGGGGGAGTCCCTGGTGATTCACAGCCTGGAGCTCCCAAGGTCCTCAGCTCTTTGCTGCCTGACTGGTCCAGGAAAATGTGAAAGAGTAGCCCTTGATTTTCAGGGATTTGGAATGAGCAAATGCCTTATCTGATCTGTATGACAAATATGTTGCAGTTTTTAGAAGTTCCCTTCATATTTCCTCTTTCTGTAGCTCAGCTGCTACAGAAATGCAGGCTGGGGCCCCCGAGTTCTCAAGTCTTGGGAGGGAAGTTGTTCCTTAAGCATTCACTGAGGACAGAGGAGGGGCATCCTGAATAGTTTAGGTTGCTACCTGTAGGAAACCTGGAGTCAGACCTGGGCCAGCTATGGGCAGCCAAGCATGGGCATCTGAGGCGCTCACTGGGGCCCTTGGCTTTAACTCAGGGCTGCCATCAAATCTAGCTAGCAGAAGCCCAGCTGCAATATATATGCAGGTCATGTCATTGCTCTGAGTCACGTCACTCAAGACCCCTGAGCTTTAAGATTTCCCAGCCCCACAGACTGCTGTTGAAATCTTCTGAGGGCTGAGGACCCAGCCCCACTTTCTTAGCACCTCTCCCTTGGAGAGTCTTAACACTTGTGCAGCATTCTATGACACGATGCTGTCTATTTTGTAAAGACCCAGGCGAAAATCGCCTATTACTGGGAGCTCACCGGAGCTTTTGGATTAATTCACAGTAATTAAAAGTCAGTTGAGCCTGGCATGGCAGAGCACACCTGTAATCCCAGCTGCTGGGGAAGCTGAGGCAGAGGGATCACATGTTCAAGGCCAGCCTGGGCAACTTAGTGAGACTTCGTCTCAAAAAAAGGTGAATTGAAATAATTCACATGATAGAAATAGAAAAAGACACATCTCTGCTCAGGTTAAAAAACTCAGCAATATTTGGGTACTGCTCTGGGTCACTGTGGCCACCTTGTCCTTTATCTCGGGGGCTGCCACCTTGGGTCCTTTAGCTGTCATGGGTGTCTCTGTCTTCCCTCTGCTTCCAGCGTCAGGCATCACCGGGAGCCACAGGATTCCTGACCACATATTCTCACACATCCCTGGGCTTCCGATTGCCAGGAGAATCAGACATTTCCCTAAGCAGGCTGTCTGCAGAACAGCCAGGGTGGGGTGGGACTCCTGGTGTTTCCTGGGTACCTTTTACCAAGTCCAAGCAGTGCCTTCTCATTGCCAAGGCTGGAGGGGCAGCCTCTGGGCTATGGGATCCACAAAACTTTTATGTTATTTGATCTATTTCGAGTCATTGATTTCCTTGAAGGTCCCTTGGAACACTGCTATCCACCCTGTCTGATTGGGTAGGACATAGAATGGCACTTCCCCTGAAAGAACATCCAATCGCCCTCCCCTGTAGATTTTGTTCAACTTGTAAGTGCAGTTTCTACATAGCAAGCTTCTTCTGAACCATCCTTTCCTAAGGACTCTTTCCACTCGCTGGGTCCCATGATACGCCCCTAGTCTTCCATCTGATCCACCTCTCCGTGTTTGTAACACCCACCCTACAAGACCAGAGCTTTGTTTTCTGTTGGTGTCTCCTTTGGGGGCTTTTCCCCACATCCTTACACCCTGGTTTTCCTTCCTAGGCGAGAAGAGGCTGCAGAGGGAGAAGTCTGAGCAGGCTCTGGATAACCCAGAAGACCTGAGGGATCCCATTCACCTTCCCGTGTTGAGACAGGGCAAAAGTCCCTACAAGCATGGCTTTGACGAGGGGGACGTGCACCCCCAGGCCAAGAAGAAGAAAATCGACCTCATTTTCAAGGATGTGCTGGAGGCCTCCCTGGAGACCTCGAAGGTGGAAGCCCATCAGCTGGCCCTGAGCACCTCGCTGGTCATCCGGAAAGTCCCCAAGTACCAGGACGACGCCTACGGCCGGTGTGCGGCAGCCAAGAGCCGTGCCGTGCAGAACGTCAGCTGGACGCAGGGGGAAGGGGACTGGAAGATCCCGCAAGGGGTTGCTAAGGAGCCGGGCCCCTTGGAGGACGAAGAGGAGGAGCCGGCGTCCTTCAAGGCCGACAGTCCCGCCGAGGCCTCCCTTGCGTCCGACCCTCATGAGCTTCCCACCACCTCCTTTTGTCCTAACTGTATTCGCCTAAAGAAGAAGGTCCGAGAACTCCAGGCAGAACTAGACATGCTTAAGTCTGGGAAGCTTCCTGAGCCCCCCGTTTTGCCACCACAGGTACTGGAGCTCCCAGAGTTCTCGGACCCTGCAGGTAAGTTGGAATGGATGAGAGTTTTGTACTAGGGAAGAGCGCCGGGGGCTGTGCAGAGGGAGGCCTAGCACTCCGTGTTGGCGCCACCTGCCGGCAGACCTGAGGAGTGCAGTGCGCAAGCGGCCACTTCCACGGGTGGGAGCCTGTGGGAGCCAGAGTCTTCCGGTGCTAGGGGCAGGCCCGCTTGCAGCTCCGGTGGATGCTTTGCGTGTCGCCCTTGTATCCTCCTTGTCAATAAAGGAAGTTCCGCTGCAGGAGGGGTGTGTGCTGTGTTCTTCACCCGTTGCCTTTCTCTGGTGGTCTGGCTGGTGCCTTCCCCCAAAGCCTGTATTCTCTCTCCTCAGGCCCAAGGAGGTTGTCTTTCTGGGGGGCTCGCACCATTCCGTTGAGTCGAGGAGCACAGCCTCCTTCTCATCCCCATGTGCTGCTCCATGTGGGCCTACTTCCCCAGCCTGGTACCCAGCAGGGTGCAGGGCATTGCCACACCCCTGAGTTCTGAATGGAGCGGGGTGGTGCAGATCTTCAAAGCATGCATCTGAAGGAAGCTACATTTTGGCTCTGAAGTCCCTGGAGGTCCCTCCGAGCTGCTTTCAGTCCAGCCTGCCTCCCCTGACCACATCAGGGTGGGGGTGTGTATGAGGCCCAGGCCTTCCCGGATGCCCTGGGGGTATGTGGTGTGCTTTCTCCCCTGCATCAGACTTTCTCTTCCAGTTCTTGCTGTCCAGTTGATAGGGGCCATTTCAGCCTCTCCAGCACGCACAACTGGCAGGTGAGGGCAGGCAGCCTGGAGCGTGGGGTGGAGGGAACCTTGGGCTACCACGGATAATCCACAGAGAGGAAGAGTCATGTGTGGAGGGCAATAGTGCTTAGAAATAAATCCCAGGCTGAGATTCCATCCCTCACAGGCTGCAGAGGACTTGTGTTCTACACAGCGTGGCATACTTCCGGGCAGTGTTTGCTGTTCATTCCTGGAAAGCCTGTTTTTCCCACCCCAGTGTAAATGTTTCTTTCCTGTTTGTTTTGCAGCCTCAGAGAACATGGTGTCTGGCCCCGCCATCATGGAGGATGATGACCAGGAGGTCGACTCAGCAGATGAATCTGTCTCCAATGATATGATGACCGCGACCGATGAGCCCTCCAAGATGTCCTCGGCCACTGGGCGCCGGATCCGGCGCTTCAAGCAGGAGTGGCTGAAGAAGTTCTGGTTCCTGCGGTACTCGCCCACCCTCAACGAGATGTGGTGCCACGTGTGCCGCCAGTACACGGTGCAGTCGTCACGCACCTCAGCCTTCATCATTGGCTCCAAGCAGTTTAAGATCCACACCATCAAACTGCACAGCCAAAGCAACCTGCACAAGAAATGCCTGCAGCTCTACAAGCTCCGCATGCACCCCGAGAAGACAGAGGAGATGTGCCGAAACATGACCCTGCTCTTCAACACCGCCTACCACCTGGCCCTCGAGGGCAGGCCCTACCTGGACTTCCGGCCACTGGCCGAGCTGCTGCGAAAGTGCGAGCTCAAGGTGGTGGACCAGTACATGAACGAGGGTGACTGCCAGATCCTCATCCACCACATCGCCCGTGCACTTCGGGAAGACCTGGTGGAGCGCATCCGCCAGTCGCCTTATCTCAGCATCATCCTGGACGGGCAGAGTGACGACCTGCTGGCCGACACCGTGGCTGTCTACGTCCAGTACACGAGCAGCGATGGGCCCCCGGCCACCGAGTTCCTGTCCCTGCAGGAGCTGGGCTTCTCCAGCACGGAAAGCTATCTCCAGGCACTGGATCGGGCCTTTTCAGCCTTGGGCATCCGGTTACAGGATGAGAAGCCGACTGTGGGCTTGGGTGTGGATGGGGCCAACATCACGGCCAGCCTGCGTGCCAGCATGTTCATGACCATCCGAAAGACGCTGCCCTGGCTGCTATGCCTGCCCTTCATGGTGCACCGGCCCCACCTGGAGATCCTAGATGCCATCAGTGGGAAGGAGCTGCCCTGCCTGGAGGAGCTGGAGAACAACCTGAAGCAGCTCCTCAGCTTCTACCGCTACTCACCACGCCTCATGTGTGAGCTGCGCTCCACCGCCTCCACGCTTTGCGAGGAGACTGAGTTCCTGGGCGACATCCGGGCTGTGAGGTGGATCATTGGTGAGCAGAACGTCCTGAACGCCCTCATCAAGGACTACCTGGAGGTCGTGGCCCACCTCAAGGACGTCAGCAGCCAGACACAGCGGGCGGATGCCTCGGCCATCGCCTTGGCCCTGCTGCAGTTCCTCCTGGACTACCAGTCCATCAAGCTCATCTACTTCCTGCTGGACGTGATTGCTGTGCTGTCACGCCTGGCCTACGTTTTCCAGGGTGAGTATCTCCTGGTGTCCCAGGTGGATGACAAGATCGAAGAGGCCATCCAGGAGATCAGCCGGCTGGCCGATTCCCCAGGCGAGTACCTGCAGGAATTCGAGGAGAACTTCCGGGAGAGCTTCAATGGAATCGCCATGAAGAACCTCAGGGTGGCAGAAGCCAAGTTCCAATCCATCAGGGAGAAGATCTGCCAGAAGACCCAGGTCATCCTGGCGCAGAGGTTCGATTCCCGGAGCCGGGTCTTTGTGAAAGCCTGCCAGGTGTTTGACCTGGCCACCTGGCCCAGGAGCAGCGAGGAGCTGGTGAGCTACGGCAAGGAGGATGTGGTGCAGATATTTGACCACCTGGAAGCCATCCCCACCTTCTCCCGGGATGGGTGCAGGGAAGGGCTGGACCCTCGGGGGAGCCTGCTAATGGAGTGGCGGGAACTCAAAGCCGATTACTACACCAAAAACAGCTTCAAAGACCTGATCGGCCACATTGGCAAATACAAGCAGAGGTTTCCGCTCTTGAACAAGGTCATCCAGGTCCTCAAAGTCCTCCCCACTTCCACTGCCTGCTGCGAGAAAGGCCGCACTGCTCTCCAGCGGGTCCGCAAAAACCACCGCTCACGCCTCACCCTGGAGCAGCTCAGTGACCTGTTGACAATCGCCATCAATGGACCCCCAATTGCCAACTTTGATGCCAAGCGAGCCCTGGATAGCTGGTTCGAGGAGAAGTCTGGTAACACTTACGCACTGTCAGCCGAGGTCCTCAGCAGGATGTCGGCCCTGGAGCAGAAGCCCATGCTGCAGATGGTGGACCACAGGGCCGTGTTTTACCCAGACATGTAGGAAACCCGAGCTGCAGAGTTCGCTAAGCTGTTGAATATTTTTTTAATCTATACTCATAAGCTTTGATATATTATATAAATATATTATATTATTATTATTATTATATATATATATATAAAAACTCACACTGAAAATTTTTAAAACCAAGGTGACACATCCACCGGAAGCTACTGGGAGCTTTCAGAAAAGAATAACGTCAGAAACTGACTCTTGACTACATTTGGCAGCTGCAACATACATGGCGACTCATTTCCACCCACAGAAGCTTGTTCTGGGGCCACACGGGTCCCCACCTAACAGTCACCCAACGGCATAAGCTAAAATGACGGGTCTCTGTCATCACCTTTAGGTAGCATGTTTTGTTTATGTTTTCATTTGGGGGTTCTGAGGCTTTGGGTTGGGTTTGGGTTTCTGTTCTTGCCTTTTTTATTTCATGTGGTTTCACAAAGGGGCTCTCTTGGCCTCTTGTGGACACTGGGGTCCAGGCTGCATCCGATCTCTCACTTCCACAGGGTGGGTTGTGAATCTGGATCAGGGTGTTGGATCTTTCTTCCTTCCTCCATCTGACTTTAGCTTGAGAGATTTTTACTCATTTCCTGATGAGGGTTCTTCACTGTCCTACAAACAAAAGTGTCGGTCAAACTGTGAACACACCACCCCTTTCCTCCGTCACCGCCCCCTTCCCTGGTTATTGATTCCCTCCTTCCAGACCCGTGGATACTAAAGATATTACCTGTTATACTGAAGGCAAAACTGTCTTTCAACAGAGCTTGAAATCTGGGGGGAAGGGAGAAGCTATGAGCTTTTTTTGTTGCATTCCTGTTTCTCCGTGGTGGAGGGCAAAACAGTATAATTCCATTTACATCCAGGGCTGTGGGTGAAGGGAAGAGCCGAGAAATCCAGACCCCCGTAGGGCAGCGATTTTTGGCTAAAAACAAGTAAAATGAAAAGTATATATTCAATTTATATGCATTATTTATATTGTGTCTTTATAATCCTATAATATGTTGAGGGTATTTTGTTTTCTTTTAATAATCAAGAAGCATCTGCTGTGTGCTTCAGGGGCAGGAGCTGTGATGCAAGGTGTGTCCTGGGTTATCCACGGCCCAAATGAGAGTCTCCGGAGAGGTTGTCCTTCCTGGTCACTAAAGCTGACAACACGCCCCACAGCCTGCAAGGAGGCTGTGGGAGACCGGACCAGACAGTGTTTCTGTGCCTGTGAACTCTTCTTTTTCTGAACAGGGGAGAGAAAACAGGAAGTAAAATGGGGCTCTCAAGGCAGCAGCCTACACACACACACACACACACACACACACACACACACAGCCACAATATAAGCTTTAGATATGGCCACTTGCCTACTCCCTGAGGCAAGTAGTGGTTTAAGCTAGATGAGTTTGATCAATGCTCTTTCGTTCATTCAACTACCAGTATACCTCGCAAGGGAGTTTTCAGAAATGCGCATAAGCTATTCAAAACTTCTGTTCTTTTCCAACATCTGATTTGTGCACAGTTTAAATGCAGAGGTCCTATGATACAGAGGCAGGTCGTCCTTGGGGAAGGGAGGAAGACCCGGTTATCTGTCCACGGTCAGTGCTGCCGGCAGCTGTCCTCTGAACTGCCTGAGGGGCTGAGATCCAGCCACAGGGAAGGCCTCCAGGGCCACAGCCTGGTTGGCTCTCACCTTCTACGACTGTGGTGGCTTCCTTCCTTCTTGGTTTATCTTGTCTCTGAGGCCTTGTGCCGCTGCTGACAACCACGGTGGAAATGTCATCGACACTGAACATGTTGCTGTCCCTTCCTGGTCCTGCCAGTCCCTTTGTTCCTCACAGACCCTCCCCGTCGCCCCCATGGTCTTGGTGCTAAGATAACTTTAGAATCATTGCTGCTAGTCAATAGCTTTCATTATATAAATATATTATATATTATATATTATTTTTGAAATGTTTTTGTTTTCAACAGTGATGTAGCATGTCAAACAAAAACACAAAAAACACAAAAAACACAAAAAACTGGGGTTCTCCAACTGTCCCACTGCCAGGCCTCATATGCTGCCTTCTCCAACAGATCAATGCACCCTTCCTGAAGTCCTTCGCCCCCGCCCCACCCGAGTCGCTCAACGCCCCCCCCCCACCCCAGTCCTCCGAGCAAAGTGAGAGTGAGCAGCAAAGACCCGGAGCCCCTTTCCGATGCTCCAACGTCCTCAGCCTCTTTCCACTCGCCCACTCTGATTTGGGGTCACGTGGAAAACCATAGCAAAGCACAAGGCCTTTGTTTCCCGGCTCCGGCCTGGGGACTTCCTGTCTCCTTCCCCACGCAGACCAGTCTGGGGGTTTCACTGAACATCGGGGTGAGCGGAGGGCAGGCACAGTTGGTTGAGGTCCCTTCTTGTCACCAACAGTTGCCTTGCACCTCTTGTTCCCCTCCAGCCTGCTTGCCCCCTGCCTGGGGACCTTCTCCCGGGGGAGGGGGTTGGGCGGAACCATTCACGTGAAGCCGGGAGGAAACCAGTGTCTGTGTGAGAAGCTGTCAGGGCCATGACTCTTTCCTCCCAGGAGGCTGGGGCTAGAATGAACTCGAGCCTTCTGAGAGAGCCCATGCCAGGGCCTACCTTGCAGCTCTTGGGAGCGGGAACCTCCGCCACCCCCAGCAAGGACCCCAGTCCTTGGAGGAGCTGAGCTTTCATGGGTCTTGATTTTGGCAGGGTGTCTCTTGGTTTCTGCCGAGTTCAGCCACACCTGGGCTGTGGCACACGCTCTGCAGGCCGCTTTGTCTTGGGATGTGGAGTAACCGGGGACTGTAAGGGTGACAAGCCACTGCAATTTTCACAGGGATTTTTCTCGGCCTGCAGGCTCCCTGGGAGGCCCAGAACCTCCCTCCTGTGAATTATGGTTTCGAGGACATATTGTTCTTGTTCTAGGCATTTTTCTCTCTGCCACGTCCTTGAAAAGGGCTTGGTTGATGGGACCTTCAGGGTCTGGCCAGGGAACCACATGGTGGACTAGTCTGGTACCTTGGATGGGTGAGGAAACTGTGGCCAGGTAGCCCATGCACCTCAAATTCGGTCCCTTCACACGGATGCAGCCCTTTAACTGAGCCCGGGCTTGGGAGTGAGCACCATAGACTTGGAAGGAGATGTGTCTCAGGGCTGAGGCCTGTCCTCACTTGGCTGGCTGATCAGTGACTGTCCCACCTCGTGGAAAGGTGAGAAGGGAGATCCAGCGAGAGGCCCAGGTTTGCGGCCAGTTACACTAAGCACTGCGCTGCAGAGCCTGGGGGCCAGATGCCTTTCTGATAAAAATCATCCCGGCTTACTGAACAGGGGAAAATAAGATCCTTTGCCACCAGGTCTCATCTCTGTCTGCAGCTCTTCCTGGGCTTGAATCCCCAAGCTCTCTCTGCCTGTCACGGATGACAGTGGGGTCAGAGCATCAGAAATGGCAGCCTTTTCTTCTTCTATTTTTTTTAATGACTGCTTGTGACATCTCGTGATACTGGGCACATCCTTGTCCCCCATCCTCACTTGGAAGGAGGGCAAGACTGAGCTCCAGGGCCCCCAGATGGCCAAGTTCAGGGCTGGGCCCTTGAGTTTATGGTGCTTAGGCTGGGGTGGGGGTGGCTCTGTCCTGAGCCTCTGCTCATGTTTCCAAGTCGAGTTGTTTTGCTGAGCCACTCTCCTTGACTCATTTATGCCCACCCTTTAATTTGGGGGAAAGGATTTTATAATTACTGAAGGCATGGTTGAAATATTTTTCCATTTGTTGGAGGTGATACCAAGAAGGAGGCCAAGGGGAAAAGCAGGCAGAGGCTGAACACAGTAGCATAGAGTGCAGTGGACTACAGACCTGGCCAGCTGGCATGGCGTTAGCTGCCCACTTGAGCCTCATGGGTTCGAATATACCTTCTCTCCTGTGGACTCCCTGCCCCCCTTCATTTTCCCTCCTACCCATCCAGGAACAGGCATTTTGTATCTAGTCTGCTTTGGGCTTCTGGTCTGGGCTTATTTCCAAGGAGAAGTTGTACTTTTGCTTGGGCCACACATCCCATTATGGCAGAAGGCTCCAGTCACACTGATGCTCATGCGTGCATGCCCCTGGTCCCCAGCGGGGCCGGCCTAGAACGGCTGAAGCAGGCAGGCCAGGGATCTGTAGGGCAAGAAAAGAGCCTGCAGAGGACAGCTGAGCTAGGAAAGCCCATTGCAGACATGGTGGGGCCTAACCTGGCCTCCTCCAGTCCTCGGGAAGAAGGAATCGAGATGCACAAGGTGCTTCTCCTGCTGGTAGGGAGGCCTTTCCCTCGCTCTCTGTTGGTCCTGGTGCTTCGGCTGAGTGCATGGAGCTGGGAGCCTTGGAAATGGTCTTTGCATATTAGCCAGAAGGAGAAAAGATGCCCTTCTGGGAGGAAAATGGTACGTCCCCCCTCGCCCATCCAGCACTCCCTTCCCTGTCCCTTGAAGTGGTATTGCCCTGGAAATACCTATGCAATCCGGTCTCCCTGGGAGACCTGCATGGAAGCAGGGGTGTGTGCAGTGTATAATTACTGATGCTACAGCATTTAGATTGTATATATGGACATATACAGTACGGATACACAGAGGAAGAGATTAAATCACGTCTATATCTATAAATAATATCCTATATATTTATACATTTCTATGTTTTAAATAGATATAAAAATAGAGTCTATAGAGCTGGAGGTGTAATAGGAGGCTTGCCGCTGTGTTGTGGAAGGGGAGGAGGCGGGGCCTCGGGGAGGGGGAGATGGGGAACAGGCAGTTCGCTGGCTCTGGGGCCCCCTTCCTGTGTGTCAGAGAAGAGGGGAGCTGTGCCCCGGCCCTCCTTATGCACTTTCTCTCCTTTTCCATGCTTGGTCTGAGGTTGGAAGGAGATCCCCCCCGCCACTCCAGCTCAAGTGTCCCCTACCTCCCCCACTACAAGCCTACGCCTAAGTGGTCACTGTCGCTTGGCAGAACGGTGCGGTCTCTGGAGGGCCCACTGCACAAACCCCCAGTGCCCTCCCCCGCCAACAAGAAGCAGCGTCGCTGGCAATAGGAAAGGTGCACTCGGTTTCCAGAAAGAGGCCGCCCGCCCCGTCGGGTGCTTCTGCCGCCCCCTAGAGGCCGCGCCTCCCAACGGCAGCCGTCCTGGCCTCCCTGGCTCGCTCAACCACTGTCCGGCCTGGCTGCAGACAGAGTGGGCAGCGCTGCCCGTCATCCAGAGGGTTTCTGGCTAGGGCAGGGGCATCTGCTCACAAAGAAAGGCGCAGTGACAGATCCGCATACTCATAATTCGGTGGTAACTCAAGCTCGGAAGCAGGGCTTTGGCCCAGCGCCCTCTGCGCAGCTGCGGCTGCTGGCTGTACTCAGGACCCTGCGACCCCTCCTCCCGCGCGGAGGCCCAGGGGCCCCACCACTCGCTGTAACCCGCAGGTTTAGTTCACATACACTGTTCTTCTGTGACCAGGCAGAGGCTGAGCCCACGTCCAGGCCCATGGACTTCCTTTGGGCAGGACATCGCCCTCACACTGTCCCCAGCTCCCGCTCTGGGCCCAAAGGGGACACTGGGAGGCAGAGGACCCCGGAGCAGCTGGAAGCATGACGGAGGGCGTGCGCCGCCCTGACGGGAGCCCGGAGCCCCCCGGCTTCCAGCTTCCTCCCTGACCTTGCTCTCCCTGGCGGTGGGAGGGGGTCTGGGGGAGCTGCCGTGATGGGGCAGGAGGGCAGCTGCCTGTGCTGCTCTCCGGAGCAGCCTCTGCCTTTGGGCCCCCCGAGGACATCCACTCCCTTCCCGAGCCTCCTGGGGGTCCTGTCTGCTCTTCCTCCCCATCCTACCAGCGTACCTCAGTCTCCAGCAGACCCAGCCCTGGGCCACCGTCTGGGCCGTGTCTGTTGTGCCAACGCCCATCTCCTTGAGCCACAGCTAGCTGCCAACCGGGTCTGGAAAGACCCTCCAGGGCCTGGCTCAGGAGAGACCAAGCCAGGCCCGAGCCTTCCTCCCATGCAGTGGGTCGGCTGCGGCCAGGGACCAGGCCGCCCCAGTAGCAATCCCACAATGCACTGTACCTCAGCGAGAGAGCGGGCCGCGGGCATCCAGGGGACCGGCCTCCGTGCACTCGGGCCGGCCGGTGACAGCACTGCTCACCAGAAGACAAAGGCCAGGCGGCCCTCGGGCGCCCCTCAGTCTTCACTTTCGTCTCTCGGCAAGAACCAGCAGTCTGATTCTGTTTCAGCCCCGTCTCGTCTCTCTCCTTCTCTCCACCCCCACGCTGCTGACCGTTTTCATTTCAATCACAAAGGAAAAATAAAGTGGGGGTGGGGGGAGATACCTAGGAGTCTATTATCACATGCATATTAATATGTTAATACTTTCTTTCTTAAAAAGAGAAAAAAACCTCTCGATGTTATTATTTCGCAGACTACGCTTTATAGTACCTGTGTGACGGGACCTAGAACACTGGATACAGATAGAGCTATGTTGGTTTATCATGATATGTACGCAGAAACTTTCCTTTTGTCATATTATCCTTGTAATGTAAGAAGATTGTTAATAAAAGCATTTAAATTTACTCACCAAAGTTGAATCTCTGCCTTCTTGCTCCTCTCCCTCCCTCTTCTGGGTTCAGAAGGGTCCCCATTGCAAGGGTTCAGGCGGCAGAGTAGAAGCCTGCCTGCTCCTAGGTTGGAAGGAACTAGAAGAAGCCTCTTTACAACACTAAATCACTTTGCCTGCATTGGAGTCCACTTCTAACAGGTGACCTACATGCCCGGCCCACTCGTTAGACCAAAGGAGGTGCTTATTTTGGATCAGGAACTGGCCCTCAAAGGCTCAGGTGTTGAAGGGTTGGGCTCCAGCAGGTGGCACTATTGGTAAGTAGTGGATACTCCAGGAAGTGGGACCTAGTTGGAAGAGGTGGCTCACTGGGAACATTCCTTTGAATATATTCTGTCCCTGGGTCCATTCTCTCTGTCTCTGTCTCTGTCTCTCTTTCTCTTTCCTGGCCATCAGGAGGTGACCAGCTTTCCTTTACCACGTGCTTCTGCCATGATGAATTGCCTCACGATAAGCCCAAAACAAGTAGGCCAAGAACCATGAACTGAAACCATGTGCCCAAATAAATCTTTCCTCTCCTTGAGTTGATTTTCCTCAGGTATTTTGTCACAGCAATGGAATGCTGACTAACACAGGAGGTGTGACCAAAACCATTTTAAATGGTGTATTTTCCTGTACACGTTTATCCCACAGCATTCTCTGGCACAGAGCCAATGTAGGTAGACAAGCTTGTTCTAGCTCTCCCTGTCCCTGTGTTGTGTGACTCCTTGTGCAGACCTGGACCCTGTAAGGGCCTTTCCTTCATAGTTTGCCAGTGGCACTGGCAGAAGGCTGGGACATACATGATGTTTTGCCCAGATGGTTTTAGAAAGGGGATGGGCATAAATCTGATGAAGATATAGACCATCCATTCTTACTCTTTCCCCTGAGATGCTAAGTCCCCTCCTCTCTGATAGCTTCATTTCTTTGGTGTTATCTCTCCCTTCTCTCCACCTCTGCCTTCTTAATGTCTGCCAGTTTCCTATCGGCCCAGGAAGTCCCCCATCCCAGCCCCAGTCAGCACTTAGAGGCTTGCTGTTGTGAAAGCCACTTCATGGTCCCCATGGAATGTTCTAGTTCTCTTCACCCCAGAAGAGGAGACAAGGAGGAGGAGCAAAGGGGCCCAGCTATCCACATGCAACCTGTGCTAGTGGACCAGTCTTCCTTTCCTACAGCACCCAGGCTACCCAGATTTGACCCACATGTACAACGGTTTCTGGAATGTGTTAATTTTGTCTCTGGGAGTGGAAGGAAAGAAAAACCCCACCCGCATTTGGCCAGAAGTCAGTCTCCCCAAGGATGAGGTAAGGAGCATGAGGCGAGGGTGAAGTCCATTCCACCCTCTTCCCTCCCACTTCTCCCCAGCTTTGTTTCCAAGGTCCAAAGGGCAAGTTGAGTTCATCCCAGAGGGAAGTCTCAGGGGACTGTGTAGCTGCTGAAGACCCAAAGGACTCCAAGTGACAATTTCTAGGATGGTCTTTTAAAACACAGATCCAGTCATGGAATCCTCTCCACAGAATCCCTCCAGTGGATGCCCAGCACCCCTGGGATTCCATCTAGACTCCCAGGCCACCATCCCTACAAGCCCTGCCGGCCTGGCCTTGTCTTGTCCTTCCCTGACTGGTTACTCTGTCCTCCAACTGCTCCAGCTCAGCTCTTTTCTACCTCGGGTGCTTGCGACAATATCCTGAGCCCTCTGCCTGGGGTGGGTTTCTCCAAGATGGTTACAGGGTGAGTTCTTCTCTTCTTTTAGGATGACAATGCCACCTTCTCAGAGGGTCGCTCCCGAGCACCTTATCTAAATAGCCACCCACAAGGCATTGTTACTCATTCTTCTTGATATTTTCCTTCATAACACTTACCTCAACTTGCAACCTATAATTACTGTCTCTGTGTGTGTATGTTTGTGTGAGTGTGTGTGTGCTTGTTTTATGTCTGTTCTCCTCTCCCACTAGGGAGAAGTCAAAGTTGTCAATGCCACTGGGTGCAGCACCTGTCATAGAGCAGGGCTGAACAAGTGTGCATTGAAGGGATGAGTGAATTTAAGCATCTCCTGAGAGAAGAGTCATTCCAGCAACTGTACTGGTCACAGCTGAAGTCCTAGATTCTTCCATGTTGCCTGTCTCTGTCTTAGATTCCCTCACTTCAGTAGAACGACCCTGAACCTGACCCAGCCCCTTCCCTACAAAGCTCCGACTGCCCCCGATGCAGACTGGGCTCCCCTCTGCTCTAGCTTGCCCTTAGTTCTTGGACAATGCCCTTGATAATGGTTTGGATCCACAGTGCCCCCTAAAAGACTCATGTTCAGAGGTGGGGCTTGTTTGGAAGGTGATTGGATCATGGAGGCCCTAGAGCTAACTTGCTGTTAGGAGGTGGGGCCTGGTTGGAGGTGGGTCTCTGAGGATGTGGCCTGGAAGGTTGTATCCTCCTCCTCAGCTCCTCCCTTCTCTCTCTGCTTCCTGGCCACCATGACCTGAGCATCTCTCCTCCGCCCAGACCTTTCTACCATCCTGCTTCTGCCATGGAGCTGGATGAACATGAACTGAAACTTATGAAACTGTGAGCCCAAATAAACCTCTCCTCTAAGTTGTGAGTGTTGGGTATTGTGTCTCTGCAACAGACAAGTGACTAAGACATTCCACACAGTCCCTCAGGTGGCTCCCATCCCCTGTGGAAGATCTTTCCCCTCCTCTCCAGTTTAGCAATTCTTGGATTTCGTGGTGCACAGTACAATTTTGAGGCTACTGCCTGTTCATCCAAGTGACCTTCCAGGAAAGACCCTTGGCCACTGACTGTACCCCAGAACCTGGACTTTAGGGTAAGACAGTACCACATTCCAATCCATTTCTGCATCTTCTAAGCCACAAGATCTTGGCCAAGTCATTTAGTCTATTTCTTTAGTTGTTTAACACAGAGGTAGTTTACTCTGTGTTGATTATTTATCATCATTAGCATCACTATGGTGATCTCTTTCCACAATGAAGTAGATGCTGGACAGTGTTGGGAGTCTCTGCTACCATAATTTCTACCCAGAATTCCTGGGGCTACCTTGAGTGAGGGAGTAGCCTCAGGTTTCTCTCTCCTGCTCCCAACACTATCTTCCCTGGCCTTCAGGAGAGGAGAGGGCCTACAACGTTTTCTTTTTTGTTTTGGCTGCAAAAGCGTATAGTCCTCGTTTATTGCTGGTTGGAATACCTGGCCTCCTGAAATAGGATTTCTACCGCTTCCCTTCCCCATCTGCCAAAAGGCTGTCCTGAAATATTGGGAAAGAGCACCAGGAAATTGGGATGGCAGATCATACCCCAAAGTGGGCTGTGTTGATGGGTGTCTTAGTTATTTTCCTCATTGCTGAGAAAAAATGCCTGAGTTAAAGAAGAAAAGATTTATTTTAGCTCATAGTTTGTAGAGGTTTCAGTCCATAGTCGGTTGGTTCCAAGGTAGGACAGCATGGCAGAAATGTATGGCAGAGGAGAAACAGTCCATAGCATGGTAGGAAGGAGGCAGTGAGACTTCCTTCTTTCCCTTTTTATTCAATGGAGGCTACAAGCCTATTGGTTTGTGCTACCCACTCCCAGGGTAGGTCTTCCTTCTTCAGAAAATCCATCACCCACACCCAGAACTATGCTAAACTAATTAGTGGATTAACCCAGTATCACAAACCCATGCCCAAAAATTCCTTCTATGAACATATGAGGCTTTGGAGGGACATCATAATATTAGCTATAACAATTGGAGACCAAACTTGATGGGGACAAGCCACCACATGGCTTTAATCACATGGTGGTCACTGCTAGACTGGTTGCCATGGCAATGTCTGGCTTCTAGTACCAAGACTGGCTTCCTGCCATCCTCCAGGTAGGTGCCTCTGTCCGTGGCTTGGGAAAGCAGCTCAGGTCCCTGCCTGAGATCTGTGCTGCTCACCTAGAGGAGATGAGACAGGGAGCAGGGGCCAGTGTTCCATCACCAGGACAGCACCCAACCTACATCCATCTGCAACCACATCTCCTGGCTTTATCCTTGCCAGGCATCTGGCTCAGAGGGAGACAGGACAGATGCTCAAGTTCTGAGCTCCTTCAAGGATGGTGCTTCCAACTGGCTCAAACAAATAGAAACTTCTTGGGTGGAAAATTACCAGTGGCTCCATCAGCAATGAAGCAAATGAGAAGAGACTGACTCAGAGGCAGAGGTGCCATTGCACAGTGTCTAGGGGAGCAGGCGGCTGTCAGGAGGGACTATCTGGAGATGCTCATGGGCAATATCAGGAGTGAGGCAGGGGTACAGGCACACATACACTTGGGGTTTGTTTTATGCATGAACTAGGAGGCCTAATCCATGCAAAGTAAGTTGCTGCCAATCCAGATTATAGAATCACGAAAGGTTAGACCTGGAAGGGGCCTTTGTGCTCATTTGGTCCAAATTCATTCTACAAATGTAGAAACCGAGGCCCATAGGCAAGTGACTCACTCAGGGCCATGATGGTAGCCAGGACCCAAGCTACTCTGGGCCAGGAAGTCCTAAGCTCCCTTCATGCTGCTCTGGCTGCAAGGCAACTTGGTGTGCAGGAGCCGGGTGAGATGTTGAACGCACATTGGAGGGAAGCCCTGTGTGTGGCAACCAGGGAACACTTCCTCCTGCATCCATTCGTAGCTCTCTGGGAAACATAGACTATATAATAGTTGGCTCTGTGGTCTAAAACCCACTTATCCTATTTTATTATGAAAATGAAAATCTTGATTATTATTAAAATATAATGTACATATATAACATAATATAAGAAATTATGTGTGCAGACTTAGCAAAGACCTTTCCTGGCTTTCTTTATGGACCATTTATCCCGTTTAAGATGCTTCAATTAATCCTATGTGCCATGGCTAATTTCCCAGTGATTTAAAATGCAGGCCCTGGCCCTTGCTAAATGGCAGGGCCTCTTCCTCCAGAGGCCCCTAGAAGTCCCCTCATCCCTGCCTGCCACTTGGAGCTTGGGAACACCACTGCAGCTGCATGCATCCTTCAGAGAGGGGAGCACCTGGAGCAAGTGAAAGAAAGGGGAGTCATAAGCATCCACCCCCCTCTTCATCAGGAATGATGTTTAACTCCCACAAGGCCTCAGTCAATCCTGTATCCCTAATGGTGTGTGGTCCTTTTGATCCAGTGCTTGCACAAGACCATTGAGTTGTGCACACGTGGATACACATAGGGCACTCTCTTCTAGCAATGCTGCTTACTCTTTGGTGTATAACCTTTGAGAAACTTAGACAGGAATGTTCATAACAGCATTTCCTGTAAGAGAAAGAGGAATGAAGGGAGGGAAGGAAGGATGGAAGAGAGAAAGAAAAAGAGAGAGAAAATGGAAAAAAGGAGGAAGAATGTGATATATTTGTGCAGTGGAGTATTATATAGCAGTGAAAGAGAAATGAACTAGAACTAGAACTGATATGTCTGCACAGTTGAAGTTCAAAATTTTACTTTTGAGCAAAAATAGTGTGACATAATTTAAATAAAACTTAACACACACACAAAGATAGTAGCTCTATTCCTCAGAGTGTATATGTACTGCTTAGGATAAAAACCCAGAGGCAGGTCTGGAGTAGAGGGCACAGAGCAGACTGAGCTGCAGCTGTCAAGGTTCATTATATTGACAGTGGTTTGTGAATGCTGACTGCAAAGTGTTTTGTTTTTGTTTTTGTTTTTACTTTTCCTGCATTTTAGATGTCCAAAATATTAAGTGAAAGGAAAAAACAGAACAAAACAGAGAAACACCAAGCTACTGACCCTGTTGGAAGTTATTTATTTACCACTGCACTAGTTTTGCTCCAGAGTGTGACACGGAATACATGACTACAATGTCTCATGCCTCTATTTGTGCTTCAGTTCATGATAGCAAAACACACACAAACACACACACACACTAACACACACACAGAGCAATTGACAACAGGAAACAGCAAAGGCAGCAACAAATCACAAGGACTAGGTCTCTTTTCCCTGTCCTCACCTTGTCCATTTGGCTTAGGCTGCATCCACCTTCCATCCAGGACTCCTTTCCAAGTGGTCCCAAAGAACAGCACTCCTGTTCCCCCCACTCCCTCTGCCTAGCTTCAATTAGGGTGGTTTGTCACACAACCCAGACCAAGAGTCACATCTGAAATTGGAAGGGACAGACACATGCAAAGTCTTGAGGAACAGGACTCAACAAGTACAGACTGATGGCTCAAGAAGTGAAGTCACCAACAAATGAAGGTGGATCCTTAATCCTCCAAGCCCGTGGCTGTCTCTAAGAAAGAAACAGGTCCCCTCTTGGGTGACAGCCCAGCCTGAAACAGACTCTTTGTTTTTACCTCTGCTTCACACCTTTCTTAGAAAATGCTTCCCTACATAGAACAAGGTAACCCTTTCAAAAATTATCAAATATGTTCACACAGACTTCATCACTCTAATTAAAAGGTAAATTGCAAGTGTGTCTGGTACAAGGTAAACCGAGGCAAAGATTACCAAAATTTTTTGATTTGGCAGTCTGACATCTTTGGGTAATTTAAAATTCACCAGAATGGAGTTTGGGTGGGAAAGTATGGCAATTATATTCTCTTTTTTGTTAAATCCATTTACATGGAGACCTTTGACTGTTGTTGAGTGAATGCTAATACTCAATGTCATGAATTTCCAGGCTAACTGTTGAGTCAACTGACATCTTTACCATTGTCAACTCAGCCAGGGCTCTCCTTGTTCTGCCATGTGCTGTGTCCTTTTCTGGTGACACCTCTCCCATCATTCATTCATTCATCCAGCAAGCCCTGTTGGAGCCCCATAAGACAGCTTTATCCTAGGCATTTGGAATCCACCAGTGAACATCCAAATGAGGCCCCTGCAGAGCCTATGCCATTTCTGTGCCTCTCTGCCAAGTGGGGTGACAATGGCACCTAAAATGTCCTATGGTATAATGTGACCCCTATCAGGAGCAGCCTTTAGCTTTCATTCTGGAAAACTAAACCTTTGAGATCCAAAGAAATGAATGGGTTGACTTTGGGTGGCATTGATGCTCTGGGCCAGGGGGCCCTGTCCAGCACTCTTCAAATGTTCTTTGGTGGGACTATAAGCAGTGCTTTGATTTATAGGGAAGTGGAACTCATGTTTCTAGATAGCGCATGTTAAAGAAGATGCTGGCCAGCTTTCAGGTGACCTGGGGAATATTTTGTTCTCTTTTTGCCATGCCAACCAAAAAGAAGAGACCAGGGCAGAGAGGGTGAACTCAGAAACACATTTTTGGAAACCAAAGACAATACTGCACCTTTGAAAAAACACTTGGAACAAGGGTGGGTCAACCTGAAAGATCAAGGTTTCCAATTATCTGAAAGACCTGCCCATTAAAGAGGGATTATATATTTTTTTCTGTTTCCACAGAGTGGGTAGAAGTTATTTCTAGTGCTTTCCCATTTCTGTATAGAAAGAGCAAATAATGACAAAAGAGTATGAAGGCTCTGCTCAAGGAGAGGCCGAGAACAACTGAATTTAAGAAGAATGATGCTTAGACAGCTCATCCAGGAATCCTCCCTTCCATCAGAGAATGGGGCTGACATCGGAGGGCCCAGAGTTTGACTATTAATAGAAAGAAGTTCAAATGCAGAATCCATGGTTCTGGAAATATTTGAGCAGGTCTGACACTTTCTAGGCATTCTCAGCTCCCAGCTTGACGTGAAAGACAGTAACCTAGCTTAAAGGTGACCTGCTAGTGGTCTCGGAGTTTGTTCTTAGCTGAGGAATACCTTCAACTTTTGAACACTTTCTCACCTACCATATCATGCACACAGATAAGATCCCAGGATGTTAGCCCTACTTGACAGATGGCCACATTAAGCTTGTGAAGGGCAGTGAGAGCAGCAGAACCCAGCAATCCAGTTCCTGATGAGTAGTATGACCACCTTCATGTAGATTTAATCACAGTGGGGACAATGATTTGGGAATAACAGGTAGAAAGTAAAAATCTAGCTGCTAGCTATTTACTGGTTAAAGTTTTAAGGACCCCCAAACCCAGGGAGGGAGGCATGTCTGCAAAAGACCTCACTCCTTTATAAAGTTGTCTTTCCTCTCCATGTTCCTGCAGCCAAATGGAGTAGACCAAGTTCATAATTAACTTCCTCCGGAAGCAGCTGGAATGCAGAGAAGGAATGGATCTGTTGCACAGGGTCACTTTGGTAATGCTGGTAGATGTGACAACTAATGCTCAGAATCCAGCCCAATAACCAACAGAGTGAGGATCCCACCTATACTTTGTGGAAGAAGGTCTCCTCACACACAATATAAGCCAATTTCAAGATAAAACAATACAGTCCTTCAATAAAAATCACAAAATGCAGCCCAAGAGCAGGACCTGGAAAAAGCACACATTTCAACATTAAGAGTTAAATCAAAAATGGAGGCTTTGAGTTCACACACAGGGTTGAGGTGCCCAGGGTTGGGGTCGCTGCCTCCAGGTGTTGGGGCCCCATAGCAGACGGAGGTTGAAAGCCCACGTAGAATGTTGTAGACAGAACCCCTCCACGTCCTCCCACCTCTGCCTTGGAATCTCTCAGTGCTTAGAAGGACTGAGGAAGAGGCTTGGCCCGAATCTCTGACCTGGAACTCACTGGCGGCCCAGGAGCTGGCGGGTGAGTCTCTACACACTAACGTCCTACAGCTGCTTGGCGGGGGGTTGGTTTCATCCCACCCAGACCACTTCTAACTCTTTGAGTTGATCCAGGATCATTTCTCCTTCATTCTTGTTGCAATACTTATTTTTAGGAACCTCTTTGCATCCACAATTCCCTGAATTAAGCTCCCCCTGCATCTGGCTTCCCACACTTGCAAGTCCTGCACAGGATTGTCTGGTAGACAGCTCTTCCCATAGCACAGAGGAGCAAGGTGCTCTCCTTGTGCGACCCGATGTCCCATTTCCACACTTGCCCTTTCGAAACAGGAGTGTGGCCAGAGAGGAAGCGCGGGTCCCAGTCTGTCTCAGAATGAGGGTGGGGACAGAGGAGGTTGCACGGGACAGCTGGGGCTGGAGGAGGGGCCCGTGTCCCCGCAAGGGGCCCGGCTACTGGCACAGCTGGTGCCACATGGCAATCTGCCGGCGCGGGTTTTTGAGCATCTCCTCCCAGTGGCTGCGCTCTGAGCCGGAAGTGTGCAGGCCCAGGCTGCAATGACCGAGGGTGCAGCTCTGCCCAGCCTCATCCTGGCTCAGCACCTCCAGCTCGACACTGGAGGCCCGCAGCAGGTCGTCAGGCAGCTCGAACATGATCATCTCGTTCCACACAGGGTTGATCTTGTGCTTGGCCCGTTTCGTCTGCTTCTTCTTCAGCTTCTGAGCCTGGTGCTTCAAGGTCACCTTGACTGAGACATCTGGGCAGGGGCAGAGACGAAAGAGAGACGGAGAGAAAGGCCAGTGAGCTTCTGGTGTCTGCTGGGGTGTGTTTATTCAATATTTATGTATTAAGTGCCTATTCGATGCCAGGCATTGGTCTAGACACGGGGACACAACGGAAGTCACTGCCTCTGCAGAACTTACAGTAATGTATGAGAATTGGACAACACTCAAGTATCCTTTCTCCAAAATGCTTGGGACCAGAAGTGTTTCAAATTTGGGATTTTCTTCTTCAGATTTTGGAATATATGCATGTACAGAATGAAATATCAGAGAGCTAGAAACCAAGTCTAAACATGAAGTTCATTTATGTTTCACATAGCCCTTACGCACATGGCCTGATGGTGATTTTATATAATTCTTAAAAATAACTTCATGCATACAACCAAGTTTCCTGGTGTGAAATTTTCCACTTGTGCTCAAAAAGTTTCAGGATGTTAGATGTCAGAGTTTTGGATGAGGGATGTTCAACCTGTAGCATAACACTTGAGGCTGGTGCTGGGGTGGTCTGAATGGGGGCAGGTTAGTGCCACCAGGGAATCATTTTTACCTTGAGCCCCAGTGACTTTGTAGGCTTGGATCAAACAAGCCCAGCACAATGACTCACATGCCCTGTTCCTAGATTCTCTACTCAGACCAGAAAAACAAGCCACCCTATGGCTCCCACCCTTTGTTCTCTGTCCAAGCCTTTTTGTGAATTAAGACCTCCTGCTGGCTGGTTGTGCTCATCTGTACTTTCTGTAACCAACATCATGTGGAGGGTGAAGGCAGACTGCCTGCCCTGCCCTGGGGCTGCTGCTGCCCCCAGGAAACCCCACACACAGGCCACCAGAGGGGCTTTCCTAATTTAGCATCTGATCACTTTTCCATTACTCAAGGTTCCCCAAGCTAATGGGAAAATAATTGTTACTTTGTATTTATTGCTATAATTATCACCCCTGAGTGGTTAGTTTGTTATTTCAGCAGAGATATTTGAGAGACAAAGTGCTACTGTAATTGTCCCTAATGGAGCTTTAAAGGAGGAAAAAAAAGAGCAAAAAGCAGAGAATTGAACGGAGAGAATGAAGAAGAAGCACTCTGACCTTTGGCTTGGGAATCTGCCAACAAGATTAACCCTTCTGATTTCATTTGTCCAAAACTTTTTGCTTAAAGATTCTGTACATAATGGCAATGCTTTATTTGTATCCTGCTACTAATACAGATGCGTTTCTCTCCAGCTATGAGCACTTGGTCCCCAGTCCAGGTATTATCTGGCTAACCCAGCTGTCTTCCTACTCAGATACGAGAGCCCGCCTTGATCTCAAGACTTGGGTCCTGTGCGGGGGTTCCTAGAAAGAAAAACCGAAATGTCCAGAGTGTTGAAAAGAGGCTTATGTGGGTAAATGGGGTACAGACACCCTGAGGCTCCGCCCCACACCCACACAACTTTTGTGACAGCCGCACTCAGCTGATGAGGGGGTGGCAGTTGGCCAAGGCTGAGAACAGAAAGAGGAGACTGGGGAAGCCGTGGGAGTGCATTGGAGGCTGGAGGAGATGGGAGGAAAGAACCAGGGCTTCCCCGCATCAGCACCTGCCCAGAGGTGAGTGCAGCGGGGCAGGGTTTCCCTGGAGCCCAGTACTCCTCACCACGTCTACGGCCTGACCCTTGGCTTCCTGGATCCGTGTCAAGGCTGACGGCTGTCAGGTGGACCTCAGAGGCAGGGAGCCCAGGGAGAACCTCGCTGGGCCTTGGAGGCTGGGATGGGCCAGGAATGAATGGATGTGAACTCAAAGGAGAGTGTGGCCTTCAGCTTGGGCTGTGAGCTTGGGTGGAGGGCACAGCCGAGGGTGACTGTCACTGCGCTTGCTGCCTCCCTTGCACACATCCCCGTGGTCTGACTCAGCCTTCTCAGCACTCACCCTTGCCCAGGAGCACCTTGGACTGGTTGGAGTGGAGGTTCTTGGCTTTGATCAGCACCACCAGGAGGCGGTTGGCAGCCGGGAGGTAGCTAATGGACAGGAGGACCTCTCCAGTCCCCGAAGACGGCTCCTGAAACAGAAGGGGACACAGGGGGTGGCTTCTCACCCACAAGCATTGCTTAGCCTGGTAGCACCGGACTTGCATCGAGGGGCACCCAGGAGTCGTCCACCCAGCCTGGCTTCTCCCCTGCACCCCATAGAGGAGCGTGGCATGAGGAGTGTTAAGGGGTGTGGGTGTCCACAGGAGTTTGCTGTCTGCCACCAAATGTGGTTTTCCAGGTGTCATATATTCAGGTCCAACATACAAGGGGTGATCAAAGATACGGTGAGAGTTTCAGTCAGAAAAGCTTATTATATTAAAAGACACACTGCCATGAATCCTCCCCCCAAATCCTCCCCCACTTTCTAAAGCAGCTCTGGAGTTCTATTTCCTGAGTATCTTTGTGAGATGTAATAAAAAATATGGTGACTGCTGCTGCCAGGTGCCATCCAAAAGAAAGCCTTCCTTATAAAAACATCACGATGTGCCCCCTCCACCTCATTCACTGGGCCTGGGACCATGCAACTTCTGCTTCCTCTTCGAAGTCAAAACGACCAGGAAAAGTTGACATTTTGAATCAATTCAGGACATTAAGGCAATTACAACATTCACTTTAATAGCCACAGCAACTAAAAGGGTGACTTCCAGAACCGCTGCAGAAATTGGTAGGAATAATGGGGTACGTATGTTGGAATTGAAGGAGAGTATTGTGGGGGAGATGAATGGTAATGTGTCTTTTACTGTAATAAGTTTTTATTTTCAATCACAGAGCAAGGAGATGGCACTGAAGATGTATCAGGGGCAGAAATCTGAGATCCCCTCACCCTTTGCTCCTGCCTCATCCCTAGCTTCCTGGGGTTCCTCTGCAGAACTCTAGGGATTCAGAGAATAAAGTTTGAGAATCAATGTGCTGACCAATCAGGTTCTCAGAGCAGTGAAGAGTTGTAATTCATTTCTTTGTTTGAAAAGCCAATTTACCCTGGGCCATCAGTCAACAAAATGTTAGAATAATGCTGAGCAGGGGCTTGCTTGGTCAATAATGCTGAGCAGGGGCTTGCTTGGTCAATAATGCTGAGCAGGGGCTTGCTTGGCCAAAGTCAATGAAACACTATGAGCGCAGGATAGCAGAAAGCGCCCCGGAGATAAAGGTCTCCAGGAAGCACCAAGACACATCTGTCCCCTGTGTACTTCACAGAGCGTCTCCACTGACAGGCCTATAAATCTGTCAAGGAACCGAAAGACAAAGGCACAAGCACACAAAAACATGACCGGTAACCTCCCAGGGAGTGTGGGTTCGGTGGCCATCAGAGCTCGAGGGAGACCTGGCAGGGAGGAGCGGGATCGAGTGGCCAGGGACCAGGGGATTCTCAGCAGAAGGCAGATGTCCTTCCCTCGCAGCCTCCAGGAGAAAGACGGCACCCCCTTAGCTGCTGCACGAGGAAACTGGGAAGGCGGAGAAGGGCCATGGACGCCGGTCCCAGTCCATGCCACGACTTTCACTCTGTCCCCCTTTTTGGCTTTCCCAGCACAGGGCCTGGCTGGAAGTGAATGCACAGCAGTACTGCAGACCCTGCTGTACGACTTACCTCCTGTGCGACACCGAGCAAGCCAGTTAACTGCTCTAAACGTTGGTTCCTTTAGCAGAAAAAAAGAGAGACTCATCCACCATGCAGCAGACATGCAAACAGCACCCGCTATGTTTCAGATGCTGCAGTTAAGGCGCTGAGCAAAGCACAATCTCCCGAGAGTTTTCAGTCACACGGGGTGGGGGTGACAGACAGGAAATGATTACGTGAGTAACATCAAGCTGCATTCAGTGCTACGAGGAAATAAAAATGGCAGCGATCAGATGAGAAAATGCATTTAGCAAGACCCCATGAAAGGCCATCAATTATAATTCAAATGACAGCTGTCAAAACTACAGCAATTATTAATAACCCAGAGCAAGCACTCCATAATGCTTAGGGCACAGACTCTAGAGCCGGCCTATCTGGGTCTGAGTTCCAGTCCTACCACTTACTAGCTGTGTGAGCTTGGGGAAGTTACTTAAGCTTTTCTGAGCCTTGACTTCCCTATCTGTGAAATGCGAATAGTATTATCTCTCCCTTAAGGGACTGTTGTAAAAATTAAACTGAGTTCAGAGGCAAAGGCTTAGACCAGTGCCCAGCACATCCTGGGCACTGTGGCCCCTTTGGCTGGGATTATCACCATTAGTTCTCTGGGAAGGGTCATCACCACTTCTTGAGCACTGTTTCTGGGTCCGTAGGAGCCAATCTGGGCTTGGGAACGAAGCTGGATGAAGCAATGGCCAGCCCTCTGCCAGGCTCACTATACCTCCTCCTTGGGTCACACTTGCCATGCAGGAAAAATGTCTCCAACTCGATGCCACTGATTCAATCAGCCACAAGTGACTCCTGTATGAAAAACTGGTCTAGGGGCCTCAAGGAACCTTGAGGACAACATAAATGATAGCAACTGTTGCTTATTAAACATTTACTATGCACTCAATTACATAATCTCTCCCCAGGGGCTGTCAGCTCCTTATGCATCCCAGCTCCTGGAGCACAGTGGGCACCAAATAAATGTCCAAAAACCTGTTTTGAAGGTGAGACATCCCATTTTACCCTGACAATGACTCTCAGAAGGTGCTGACTTTGTGCCCCTCCTAGGCACAAGCACCTGCACCTGCACTGGAACGGGAAGGGAGGTCTGGTCTAAAAGGGAAGCCTGAGTGTGAAATCCATGGCCTCTGGCTTCCCAGGTGGACACGCCCAGCCCCTCACTCCACAGAGAAGAAACTGAGGCTGGGGACAGGTGCCAGGCACCCCGCAGGGTGGCAGCAGAGCTGGGATAGGCACTGCCTTCTGACTCAAGGTTGTGTGGCAGGGGTTCATGGTTGGCTCAGGCTGTAGCCATGGGGCGACAGCTGCAGCCTTCTGTTCCCCAGCCCAGGGAGGGGCCCCCGCCTGCCGGCCCTGTGGGGCTCTGGACCACCCTGCCCTCTGCACCTTAGCACAGCGTGTTGGCATCTGCCCCCTTGGCATCCTGGCTCTTCAAGTACCTCCTTTCTCACCCCCTCTTTCTCTCTGGCTCTCAATGAATCACTCCAGGCTGTCCTCAGAGTGAGTCGCGCTGTGGGCCCTGCTGACGCACAAGCCACTTTTGGCTGAGTGTCTTTGGCTAGAACTGAGGCACTGCCGGTGCCTCTGTTAACCCCTTCTGGCCCAGAGAAGGCAATACCTGGCCCCACAACTGCAGGCCCCCCACCAGGGTTAAGCCAGCCCATGCCCTCAACCCAGATAGAGGCTCCCTGGCTGGCTGGGGCTCTCTCTGCCTCGCATTCCCAAGGGAAGTGGATGTTGGGGATGTCTGCAGAGGGTTGAGTACTGGCAGGTGTGGCAGTGGATGGGGCTGCACTGCAGCTCGGGCTGTGTCCCCAGGAGAACAGGGTATTTGTGGTACACATGGATGGAGGATGGGGGGTGGGTGGATGGATGGGTGACACTGCTTTTCTACAGGAGGGATTAAAGCCAGGGAGGTGCCTGAGACTGGTCAGTGGGATTTCAGCCCTTTTGGGCTTGTAGCAAAGCCTAAAGTTCAGCAAGGCAGGGAGGAGGGCTCCGCATCTCTGGAGAAAGCTGGTCCTCCTGTGCTTGGCTTCTTCCAGGGCGCCTGTCTGTGTTCACACAAGGCCCGAATCACACACTAATTACAGAGCATGCTGTGGAACCATGCTGGAATGACTGTGATTATTCTATCAATTTTCCAAGCCTAGGAAAGAAGAGAAAATGCGGCAAGGAAGAAATGCTGGCAAGAGAGGAGCAAGGTGGGGAGTGGAACTGTTCTCCTCTCTCCTGACCTCAGGGTACCCATTAGGAAAGGTTGTGCCTCTTGCTTGTCAGGCACATGCTCGTGGCAGGGATGAGACAGCAGGGATTAGAGTCCAGTGAGTCGGCCTCAAGGCTGGGCTCTCGGCGTCCTGGCTGGTGACCTATGCAAGTTCCTCAACAACGATGAGCATCAGTTCACAAATGGGACCATCATGGCGTCTCCCTCACTGCTGGATTTGGGAAGTAGGTGGAAGAACTCAGGTTAAGTCCTAAGGATCGCTGCTGATATATGGGGAGCACTCAGAAATAGCATCCTGAGCCAGCGGTGGTGGCGCACGCCTGTAATCCCAGCACTCTGGGAGGCTGAGGCAAGGAGGGTCACAAATTCAAGCCCAGCCTGGGCAATTTACTGAGACACTGTCTCAAAAATTAAAAAATAAATTAGAAAGGGCTAGGGATGTAGCTCAGTGTGACAGTAGCTCAGTGTGACAATCCCCAGCACCATAAAAGAAAGCAAAGAAGGAGAGAAGGAAGGAAGGAAGGAAGGAAGGAGGAGGCCACGCACCTGATTAGCATTCCTACTACTGCAGCACAAGGGGCCCAAACAATCTAGAAAGGGCCAGACAGGCACTGTGGGCCATGCGGTCTCTGGGCAGAGGTGACAGACCAGTCACCACAGTGCAGGCTGCTTGGAGTGGCCTTGACTAGGGCACTAGTGGCCCCGCACCATCCCCAGCCCTGCCCTCCTCTGGACTTTTGCCCACCATGGCCTACGTGGAGCCCCTTTCTGAGGAATGCCTTGTGTCCTGCCTGACTCTCTGTCACTGTCACCTCAGCACAGCAGAGGTGGGAAATCACCTGGGGACTCATCCTCAGCCCAGTGGATCCTTCAGAGCCCAGTGCAAGGCCACCTTGCACCAAGCCTTCCAGAACTTTCTCTCACAGGACTTTGGCTCAGCCCACAGGATCCCACACATCAGAGGTCATCGTCACTGCCATTGGTCAGCATGGTTTATCCCTTTAGCCTGCGCTTTCTATGAGCACCGAGTGCTGCCTCTCCCCCACCCCTTGTCCACCCCTCCCTGCAGTGCCTGGCACATAGCGGGTGCACACAGAGTAGGACTGGATTCAGCAGGGATGCTCGCTGGGTATGGCGATGCATACTCATAACTCCAGCACTGAGGCTGAGACAGGAGGGTCGCCAAGAGTTCAAGGCCAGCCTAACCTACATAGTGAGTTCAAGACCAGCCCTAAGCTAGACCCTGTCTCAAAAGAACAAAAAAGGATGGATGGCACTGCTGTTGCACGAGAGCCAGTGCACACCCGTGAAGCTTTCCATGAAGGTGGCAGGGGACCTGTGCAGCAGCCAAGAAGCACTGCCGAAGTGGACCCCAGGAACCCTGAGCCCCAGGCCACAGGTCTTCTCCAGCCCCGGCCCTGCCCAAGGCCCCTCCACACCTCTCACTGGCCCCTGAAGGTCTCCAGGTTTGTTCTGACCCTTCTGGCCCAGATTTCTGCCCTGACGCTCCGTGGACAGACTGTCCCTGTCTCCATGGCATGGACCAGATGGACCCTACCTTCACTGAGGTCTTCAGCTCGCCCCACTGGGCAGCCCCCAGGGGCACGGACACCCCATCCAGGGCCAGGCGGAGCTCCCCGGCCACACTGTGGCGGGAGAAGCGGTCACAGGTCCTGAGGGTGAGAGTCAGGGCAGCTGTACGCAGCTCCTCTTCTGCCAGGGGCAGCACCAGGCCCTCCTCCCAGGCTGTGTGCTGCTGTCGCCTCTTCAGGGCCGTCTGGGCCTCCACGGACCCTGTCGTGATGGCCACGCTGCCCTGCACATAGCAGTCACAGCCTCCGTCGTGGTCACTGGTCAAAGCTGTGGGCAAGGACAAGCAACACAGACCTGGAACTTCCTAAGGATGGAGGGGGAAGCACGTTCCTAATGAGCCAGTTTAATGGGGATGACCTTGGGCATCTGCAGGACCCCAGGGTTGAGCACCCAGCACCGTCTTGTCCCCAACAGCAAGACAGAAACAGGAGCTCTTGGAGGATCCAGGGTCAGCACACCAAGTCTTCCTTGAAGAGCAGTGACCAGAATCAACACTTCTCAGAGCCCTTCTGACATCAGGAATCTGAGATCTCCCCAAGGTCCAGCCCCCCCCCCGCCCCTTTTTAAGGTTGTTACTCATGATGTGATTCATTCATTCTGTAAGTTAAATATTTACCCCTTGGGATGTGACTCATCAGGCTGCTCCCTCATGGATTCTGTTTTCCATTCAGAACCCCAGTGTCTTAATGCGTCACCATGTGCATTGTATTAGTCAGCTTCCTGTCACTATAACAAACACCCGAGACAGGTCAGTTTATACAAAGGAAAGGTCTGTTTTGGCTCACAGTTTTGGAAGTTCCACCCATGGTCGGTTGGCCTTGTTGCTTCTGGTCCTCGGTGAGGCAGCGCATCATGGCCAGTGAGCAAACAGGAGCAGGAGGAAGGGACAGGCCCTGCTGTCCCCTTCATGATCTAGAGAGCTTGCAGACCCCCATCCTAAAGGCTCCACCTTCTCCCACTGGTGCCACACAGGAAGCCAGCTTTGCCACCCAGGCCTCTGGTGGACATTTGAGACTCAAACCCCAGCATTCACTGTACTTCTTCCAGCTCCCTCAAGAACGCTGCTTTATATTCTTGAATTATGGTGTTTTGAATGAGTCACAGTGTGGATTTAAACAGAATTCCCCACTGTGGTGCTTTGATGACTGGCTTCTCAGTGAGAATTTGGGAAGTGGGAGCTGACATTTCTCAGGAAGAGGAGCTGAAAAACCAAGACCACTGTCCTGACAGAACTTCCTCCTGAGTGTCAAGGGACTGCCCAGTCCTGGCTCTGTCACCAGTTAGTTGGAATGATCTGGGACCAGTCACAGGACTTGCTACACTTCAGGTTCCTAATCTGTAAAATGGGGCTATCACGAAGACCAAATATAATAAAATATATCAAAGTGCCTAAAAAAGTTTTAAAGACAATAAAAGGGAAAACACTCAAAAAAAGAAAGAAAGAAAATTAGAGATAGGGATGTAGCTCAGTGGTAAAGTGATGCCTAGCATGTACCAGGTCCTGGGTTCAATCCCCTGTGCCACAAAAAAAACAAAACAACACTGTCATGGTTTGGATCCTCAGTGTCCCCCAAAGGCCATGTACTAAAGGCTTGGTCTCCAGGGGCTGGCTCTGATGAGCAGCAGTGGGACGATTAAGAGGTGGGGCCTAGAGGGAGGAAGTTGGGCCATTGTGGGTGTGGCCTTGAATGGAATGCTGGGACACTGGGCTCTTTCTCTCTTTGCTTCTTGGCTACCAGGCAGTCACTAGGCCTCCTTCGCCCAGCTCTCCTGCCTTGATGTTCTGCCTTGGCAGAGGCCCAAGTGACTATGAGCCAAAATAAATCTTGCCTCTTTTAAGTTGATTTTCTTGGGTACTTTATCACACCAACAGAAAGCCAGTCAACACAAAAACAAAGGAAAATTTATCACAGAAGCCCAGTTTATCTGGCCTCACTTTTAACTCTGATTCCTTTGCAAAATCTTTATCTTTGTTTACTGATGGTAAAGTGCATTGTCAGGAGAGGGACAACAAGGATATCTTGACCCCTCAGACTGGTTCTCAGATTGCAGAAACTTTTCTGATCCTTCTGGAGACTCTCTGTGTGTCACACAAAACCCTGTTCAATGTCAAAGGAACCTATGGAAGAAACCACTAGCTGTTCACATGAAAACTTCTTTTTCTTGGGGTGCCCACTAGGCCACATTTCACAGGCTCCTTTGCAGTGAGGTGTGGTCATGTGACTGGGCCTGGCCAATGGGATGAGAGCAGAAGAGATGTAGGTCATGTCTGGGTAAGGCTATTGGGGAATGATTGCACCGTCTTCTGGTTCCCATTCTCCTTCTACCTGCTACATACAGACAGAAGGAGGCCCAAGGGGATTATGGAGCCTCAGAAGGAGGAGCAGATCCTTAAATCACGATTTGGAGAAAAGATGTCTGCCAACCAGGAATCCCCACTTTGGGTTGTCAAAAGGAGAAGAAATATCTATGTGTCCAAGGACCATGCTTTGGGGCTGTTTGTTGGAGTGCTAACCCATACTCCCTGCAGCTGCACACCCTCCCATTCTGCCTCCATGGCCTCACCAGGGGACAAAGACCTCCAGAAGCCCACAGAAGTCATGCAGGAAAGAACAGTACCTTCCAGGCAAGTCACAAAGAGTTCAGCCTTCTGCCGGTCATAGTCCAGACAGTAGTGGAGTTTGGGGGCCTGGTTCCAGCTGGCGGCCTTCTCTGGATTCCAGGTCTCCATGACGCAGACATCCTCCACCACACCTGTAAGAGAGGCAAAGCGTCACTGCCACCACCACACCTTTCTCATCTCTGCCACCTAAGCCACAAATCCAAATGCAAAGCTTCTGAAAGTCCTCAATGGTGATCACACCAGGGACACACCAGACGTCATGACCACTGCGTTTTAAGGGACCATCATAGTCCAGTAGCCAAGACATGGGCTACAGTATCTGTTTGTTTGTTTGTTTGTTTTTTGGTACCAGGGATTGAACTCAGGTTCTTGCATTTGTGGGGCAGGCGGCAGAACCACTAAGCTAAATCCCCAGCCCTAGGCCTGCAGTATCTGACATGAGCTGTTGGATAATAACTGTGTGACCTTGGGCAAGTTACTTGACTTCTCTGAGCCTCAGAGTCCTCATCTTTAGAGTTTTTCCTTCCTAAAGCTATTGTGAATATTAAATGAAATAAGGCAGAGGACATTCTTAACTAAGAGCCTGGCCCATGGAGAACTTTTGGGAAAGAAAACTATCACAGCTATGTGATTTTGGTGACTGTATTGTAGGCAAACCATTCCCAGCCCAGCTGCAACTCCACCTTTGCCACTGAACAGAGTTCCTGCTCTCCAAGAGCAAACCATTGGAGATACAAACATAAGATAAGAATTAGAAGAACCCAGCAGCTGCTGCTGATGCCACTTGAAGCAAAGCAGAATTTAATTTTCAGTGCTCAGGACCAATTTGGAGACTAGAAATGGAGGTGGCTGTTAATTTCCAAAGTGGTTGATTATTAGGTCCTGAAAATAGTAAAAAATTTTCCCAGGGCATCTAAGAAAGGGAACAGGAAGTGACCAATGTATAAATTGAGACACATGTGTGCATAGGGCCCACTCGGCTTCCAAGACCATCCTGCGGATGACCAGAGCAGTGGTGGCTTTCGGAGGGGCTCAGAGGCACCCAGAGCTCTCAGCTGTTAGGCAGCCTCAGCCTTTGATGCCAGAACCAACCTCCACTTATCTAAGATCTGTGTGTGTGTGTGTGTGTGTGTGTGTGTGGTACCAGGGAATGAAACTAGCACCCTTGCAATGAGCTACGTCCCCAATTCTTTTATTTCTCTTTTGGGACAGTCTTCCTAAGTCACTAAATTGCCCAGGGCTGACCTTGAACTTGCAATCTTTGTCCTGCCTCAGCCTTCCAGAAGGCTGAGATCACAGGTGTATGCCATCACACCTGACTAAGTGGATCGGTTTGAAATTCACCAGATTCATTCACCACACACATGTGCTCCCAAGGCAGCCTAGTCACTGGGCTTCTGGCCTGGAGCCCCATCCACTGGACAGTGTAGGTGCAGGTGAATCCAGGCCAGGCAATGTTTTGAGGTGGGGTCAAGGTCAAAGTCACTGAGCTGCTGCTGCCTCCCTCACTCAAAACAAAGCCCAGACCTTAACACACGGCGCCCTCCTCCCGGCTCTGTTTCACCCTCCTGAAAAGCTTTCATGCTCCTTTGGGTCAGGGACCATGTCTGCCTCATGTGTCACCCTGTGCCCTACCTGGTACTGTCCACCTGTGGGCATTGCCTTCTCCAGGCCGATGCTGATGGAAAGGAGAATCAAACAGTAACATGAACTGTATGTTTTGATTATGTCCTTTGTGCCAGGCCCTGAATTGAGCATGCATAAACATTATTTTATTCACACTTTACAACAACCCTAACAGGATGGTGATAACATGACGCCATTTTATTGATGAGGAGACTGAGGCCCAGAGAGGTTAGCAGCATGACTGATGCTATACAGCAAGTATATAAAAGGGCAAAGAATCGAACCCATGACTGAAGCCTGCAGTTTAATCACCATGCTTTATCCATAGTTGCTCACCCACGACTTGAAAGGGACTCCCCTTCAACAGCGCATGGCCAGGCCATGCCTGGCATCGCAGTGATGGTGACAGCCCCCTCCTGGATCAGCCCACCAGGCAGAGGAGACCCCTACCATTCTGAGGAAGGATGAACAGCTCCTCGGTGACCTGCCTCTTGAGGCGACTGTCACTCAGGGGCTGAGGGCTGATGGGCGCAGCAGCCTCCTCCGTGGTGCCCAGTGTGTAATCTGCGTAGTTGATAACCTCCGGAGCCGTCACGGCTGGCCTGGGGCCATAGATGTCCGGGAACTTGAGGAGGGGACGGGGCTGGACGGGCTCCGTGGATTTCTTCACGTTGAACTGCAAACACAAATCAGCTCGCCAGGGGGCGTCTTGGCGGATCCCACCCGCAGGCACAGGAGGCGTGACCTGACCTTTCACAGGAGGCGGGGAGAGGTGCGGTTCTGTTCTGCTCCAGAGAGGGAAGATAACACATCACTTCCCAGCCCACTACACGCAGTGCCGCAAGCCACGCTGGGGCCCATGGAGATACGACCTTGGTTGTCCATCCCTTCTCCATCTGGGTGGCCGTCCCTCCCCACTCTCCTCTGTGTCCCTTGCCTCTCCACCCTCTCTCCTCCATCTCTTATTCCTTTGCTTCCTCCTTTCTCCACCCAGGGCTCAGACATGCCTGTGGCTGCCACTACCCCCGGCACAAATCCAGACTCCTTGTGGTGGCCGGAAAAAAGCTTGTCCTGCTTATCCCTGAGGTTACCCTGAATCTGTCTGCCTTTTCTCACCACCACCCAGGGATCCCTGATGCTCCAGTAAGGTAGACTTTTGGTCTGGCTTCTGTCCCCATCTCTTCCCCCAAACCACACACTGCACCCTCCACTTGCTGTTTGTGTGGCTGGCTCCATCTCCTACCAGAAGTCCAGCCCAAATGGCTTCTCTGAGCTGCCATCTAAACCTTGAGCTCTCTGAGCTGGCCCTCCCCATCTCCCTGCCCTTAGATCCAAAGCATCCGTGTCACCCTGAGTGTGGGGGTCCCTCTCACTAACGTGAGATCCACGAGCTCAGAGACCAGGTGGTGCCTTGCTCCTGACACTACTGTGGAGCTGGGGCACCTTTGCCAGGCTGTCTTGTTTCTCTGGGGTGTCCACTTAGGTAACAGGTGGTTTCAGACACCCCACATACTGAGCTGCTTCTTCGGGCTGGAAAGATTCAAGGCACAACGTCCTTTCTCTGCAGGACCAGGTGAGTCAGAGAGAAGGTCACCACCAGCAGGGGTAAATAGGGAGCCCCTCTTTGGTCAGGACCTTGCCCAGTGTGTGTAAATGACCAAGAGGAGGGCAGTGTGTGATCTGACACCAGGAACAATCAGAGCACCTGGGGGGGCCAGGAGGGGTCAGCGAGGAGCCAGAGCCTGAATTAGGCCCTGAGCTAAAACTGGAAGACCAGTGGTGAGGAAGGCAGAAAGAGAGGTGGGAGAAGGCCAGCCAGACAGAAGGACAAGACAGAACAATGCTCACATCCCTGTGTCTTTCTAAATTCCACAAAGTCATATCCACCTCTGCTCTCTCAACTAAACCTGAGTTACATTTATACTGTGAAGTGTGATTGAAATACAAGGTGAATGAAAAGGCAGGAGAAAGTACAAATGACATAAAAAAACTGTTCACAGAATTAATGATAGAAAACTTCCCAAACAGAGCAAAAGAATTTGACATACAGATAAGTGAGGAATATAGGACTCCAACTAGCCATGATCAAAGAAAAAAAAAATCTACACTTGGACATATAATAATCAAGATCCTGGAAACCCAACAGAAGAACAAAATACTACAAGCAGTTAGAGAAAAGAAACAAATCACATGCAAAGGAAAGCCCATTAGAATCACAGCAGACTTTTCAACACAAACCCTCAAGTCAAGGAGAGCCTGGAGTGAGGTATTTCAAGCCTAAAAGAAAACCACCTCCAACCTAGACTGATGTATCCTGCAAAACTATCTTTCAAAATTGATGGGGAAGTAAGATACTTCCATGACAAAGAATACCTGAGAAACTTCATGAATACCAAACCAGCACTACAAGCAATTCTAAAAAATATCTTAGAAAAAGGCAACAAAGTTCACAACTCCATGAGGCCCAACAGAGCAAATTCATCAGGCAAGGCAAGAAATTAAAAGGAGAAGGAGAAAAACAAAAAAGAACCAATAACAGGAAAATATCATAACAATGATAAGTTAATACATATCAGTTATAACCATCAATGTTAATGACCTCAACTCACCAATCAAAAGAAATAGACTGGCAGAATGGATTAAGAAGCAAAATCCAACAATATGCTGTATACAAGAAACACACCTAGTTCAAAAAGAAACTCATAGACTGAAAGTAAAAGGATGGAAAACAGTTCTCTATGCAATAGGAACCTGAAAAAAAACAGGGGTAGTAATCTAATTTGCAGACAAAGTAAACTTAAACCAAAACTAATTGAGAGACAAAGAAGGTCACTACATCCTTGTAAAGGGAACAATTCAACAGGAAGAGATGACAATCATAAATATATATGCACCAAATACAAATGCCCCCAGCTATACAAAACAAGTATTAGGAGACATGAAATACCAAATAAGCACTAATACAATTGTATTAAGGGACCTCAATACCCCACTGTCACAAATAGACAAATCATCTAGACAAAAAATCAACAATGAAATACTAGAACTAAACCAAGCTTTTGAACAAATGGACTTAATAGATGTCTAGAGTGTTCCACCCAACAAAATCAGAATATACATTCTTTTCAGCTGCACATGGGTCATTCTCCAAAATAGACCACATACTAGCTCAAAGAACATTAAAGTACATGCAAAGGAATTGAAGTTATCCCATGCATATTATCAGACCATAGTGCAATTAAACTGGAGATCAATAGCATAAGAAACTGCAAGAACTTCACAAACACATGGAAATTGAATAACATTCTCCTGAACAATCAATGGGTCACAGAGGAAATTAAAGAAGAAATTAGACAGTTTTTACAAATAAGTGATAATGCCAATACAACATACAGGAATCTATGGGACACAATGAAAGCAGTTCTACAAGGGAAATTCATAGCAGTGAATGCCTGCATTAGGAAAACAGAGCGAGTTCAAATAAACAACCTCATGCTGAATCTTAAGCTCCTAGAAAAAGAAGGGCAAGACAAATCCAAAGCTCATACAAAGGAGGAAATTATAAAGATCAGAGCAGAAATCAATGCAATGGAGACTAACGGAATGATACAAAAAAATCAATGAATTGAACAGTTGGTTTTTTGAAAGAATAAATAAAATCAATAAACCCTTAGCCAACCTTATCAAAAAAAGGGGAGGGGGAGAAAAGTGGGCAAAAAAGGGCTCAAATACATGCAATTAGGCACAAAAAAGGTGAAGTCACAACAGATCCAGCAGAAATCCAGAGGATCATCAATACCTACTTCAAGAACCTGTACTCTAATAAAATGGAAAACACAGAAGAAATGGACA